GGTGGTGTGTGAGGTCGTTGTGGATTCGAAGGTTTATTATTCAAGTGAGAATGGGAGTGGAGGGTATGAGGTCGTCGTAAAGGCACGCAGGCGGAAGGCGCTCAGCGCGAAGAACAACCTATCACCAACGAATGGAAAGACGAAAGGCCAGGCCCCTCTCCCCCTTGAACCTTTCCCCTCTGCGCCAGATGAGCCGTCTTCCTCCTCCACTACACCCACAGGAGACCCCTCACTCGACCTCGACCTCCCATTCGTATTCACCCTACACACCGTCCCCGCCTCGTCCCTCCATTCCTCCGGGCTGTCCGCTGAGCCGCCGACGAGGCACCTGCTGAGGGTGACGCTGCCCACGGCGCAGTACCACGGGAACAGCGTGTGGGACCCGCTGGAGGGGCGGATGAGGGCGCCGCCTGAGCGGCCGGGGTGGGTTAGAGAGCTGGAGGAGGAGGAGGAGGAGGGAGGAGAGGAGGAGAGGGATGGCGAGGAGGAGGGTGGTAAGGAGGAGGGAGGAGGAAGGGAGAAAGATAGTGGGACGCCTAGCATCGATATCGACGCGCCGTCCTCACCTACGCGGACCCAACCTCCAGAACCCCAAAACCCATCGTCACCACCACCACCACCACCACCACCACCATCGCTACCACCCTCAGCAAATGCCGGAAGTGGGGGAGGCGGCATCCTCATCGACGTCCTCGTCCGTCCACGCACCACACCCACACCTGCGCTATCAAACGAGAAGGACAAGGACAAGGACAAGGACAAGGACAAGAACGAGGGATCGGTCGTGTACATCAACGGGCGGCTCGTCCGCGTGATAGGCGAGAAGGAGAGCCTGACGAGTTTGGGAAGGGAGGAGCTGTTGGACGACCAGACGGGGAAGATGGGTGTGCTTTCGAGGTGGGTCTTTTATTTTCTCGAGGGTTGTCTTTCTCTCTCTTTTTTCTTTTTTTTTTTCGCTCTTTTTTCCCTCTTTTGGTGTGAGTTTGTTGGTTTGCGCCCGTTGTTCTATTAATTTCTTTGACGCACGGGCGCTTGTAAATTTCTATGCCTCACTGCATGTGCGCCCGAGCGGGTATCGAGCGCCTTTGTCAACTTTTGGCCGCTCGGAATACCTCCTTCAAGGCAATTGTCCACGTCCACTTCTATCCTTCTACGATTTGCTTCCGCGGCGCTTGATGCATGATGCATCATGTATCACGCTCCCTCTTCCTCTTCCTCTTCTTCTTTACCCCCCCACTTCCTTCTATCTGTTTTCCTTTTTTTCTGTTCTCAGTCGTGCTTGGGCGGGGTGTGTTCTGCACACCATCATCGATGGCATCCACCACACGCCACACGTCGTGCGACCTCGTCCGCCTTCCCGTAACTGTTGCTGCTCGATACCCTCTCAGACGGGGACGACGATCGAGTCTCCTCTAAGCTTGGAGCTTCAGACAAGCTTCGAGCCTCAGACAAGCTTTGGCTTTCACGCCTGTGTAGCTGTGTTCTTCGCTTCGTGGTGATATGCTTTCGGGGCGGTGGTGCATCAGACTATCAGGCTTCCTTCACTGTAATTTCGCTGTGCTTTGCTTTGTTGTAACCTTTGTTGTAGCTTTACGGCTTTGCATCTGTCCTTCTGTCCTTTTGCCTTCGTGCTTCTTGGTCTGCGGTGTGCTTTTGCTTTGATTTCTTCGATCATTTCTAAATTTCTTATTCGTCATTTCGATCTTTCATTTTTACGTTCTGTCTTTTTTCATTCTATTCTCTATTTTCTATTCATCTCTCTCTTTCCCCACATCCTATCTATCTTTGGTTACCGGCGTCGACATCATCATCATTCCTCTCCTCTCCTTCCGAGTCCGCGTCTGAGTCCGAGCAGCGCGTGGACATAACCCCAGGCTAACGCCACACGCGTCCCTGCACACTTCCATTCCATTCCATTCCATCTTCCTCGATCTACTTAGTTTCCTCGGGAGCCCGTTTGGGCAATTCCTCGTTTTGATTTTTTCGTCTCTGCTTTTTCCGTTTACGTTTCGGGCCTCGATCATTTGTTCGATCTCGTCGATAGTATTCCCTTTTCTTTCCCTTGATGTGTGTTGAACACCGTACTGAACACGTACTAACCCACCTCTACAGGATCCCGAACGAGTCGGAACCCCTCCCCTTCGAGCTCAAGCTCCCCATCGGCGTCGCTGTGCAGCTGCTCGTCCTTCCATCGCCTTCATCCACGCCAGTTCCTCCCTCCAGGGGTTTGGGCTTGGGGATGGGGATGGGTTTGCTGGGGGTGATGGACGAGCAGGGCCTTGCCGGGGGTGTCGGACGTATTGGGGGTATGCCGGGTGGGGGTGTGGGAGGGATGGGAGGTGGGAATGGGGGGATGGGTGGAGGTAACGAGGCTGGAGGAGCGGGAGGAGGGAAAGGAGGGGGAAAGAGTGGAGGAAAGGGCGAGGATGTACCGGGAATGGTGCGTGTTTTGTGCCGATGTTGGGAAGTGGGTGTGGGCTGACTTTCTTCCTTCTGTGTTCTCTCTCTCCTTTGGGATATTTTTTTTGGGTCCCGTATTCGTGCATCCTTTCGCGGGTATGTGGGTTCGGTGTGGTCGCTTGTGTGGGGTATTTGGCGTGCTCGTGTCGCGTGTCCTTGCCTCGCCCCACCTCTCGCTGTACCATGTTGTACCATGTGTGCTGCCTCGCACCTCACCTTGCCATGCCGCGCCAACGCATGTTATCACCTTCCACTTTCGATTTCGACTTGCGGTTTCGGCTTGCGATTTCTATTTCTGTTTTCCGTGGCCTATGCCTATGTTCGACATTCGATGTTCTATTTCCGCGCTTGCACCCATGCCGACACCAACTGCCGTAACCATCGTCCTTTCGCGTTCTTTCACTCACCGGGACGCCGGCGCCGCGATTGCTTACATTACTCAGCCGGGGACGGACGTTGGCGCGGACAACGCAGGAGGCGTGGGCGTTGGTGGTGTGCAGGGTAATGGCAACGGGAGCAACACAGGAGGTTTCTTGGGCTTCTGGAACGTGTTGAGTGGGGCGGCTGGGCTGAGGGTTTCGGGCAATGGTGCGGGAGTTGGACAGGGTGCGCTAGCGTCAAACGGAAACGGAAATGGGGGTGGGCACAGCGTGTGTGGGATTGGGCTTGGGCTTGGGGGAGCTATTTCTGGCATTGGCGCTGGGAGCACTGGCAGCGGGACCGGGGAAGGGCCTGGCGGTGCGACGAGCTCGGAGGGATCGGGGTCGGGGAGCACACAGAGTCAGAGTGGGAGTGGGAGTCTGGGTGCAAGGACGGGCGCTAATGCAGCCGGCGGGCAGGAGCAGACCATGGGCGTGGCTGTCCGCGGGCGCGTTGAGACAGCGACGACGTTCCCGCTGTCGACGGTGGTGTTCGTGGGCCTGATTGCGTTCCTGCTGGGGTCGCTCCTGCGCTCGCTGCTCTCACCGGCGGATTTCATCTATGTGGTGACGGACATGAAGGACGCGGAGGAGGCGAGCGCGAGCGGGGGCGTCGCGGCGAGCATGCGTGGCTGGCGCGAGATTAGGCGGCTGTTGGAGATCAAGTACCTTGTGGGCGGCTGGGACTTCCAGGTGGCTGTTGTTCGTCGGCACTAGACTTAGTGCACTAGTATTTTGTAGATAGTATATTTTGCGCCTAATGTAATGGTGACAGACAGACGGTAGTGATTGGCCCCGGCGAAGAGCGAAGACTGCAGTTCGGGGAATGAATTGAGGGATGTTGTAGTGGCTTGTTTGGCGTGCTTGCCTGTCGCTTTCCTTTCCCCTCGCGCTTCCCAGAACTCCTTCCTCTCCTCTTCCGTGCCTCCCTTCCCTCCCCCGGTCCCCTGCTCACCTCCGCTTCCCCGCCCACCGACGACGACGACGACGAGCACCGGTGATAGCAGGCACAGCAGCAGCAGCACGCAGCAGTACCCGTGGGCAGCAGCAGAAGCACCAGGTGAGTGATTGCTTGCGCACGGCACGGACGGACGGATGGGGCTCGACAGCAGGCAGCAGGCGAGGCTGGCCAGGGCACCGCGCCGCGACTCCCTCCCATCCCACTCCCACTCCCCCCCTCGGACCTTGTCCACCCCTTCCCCTCTTCACACCGTCCCCACTGCTGACGAGTACACCCTTCCTTCCCCAGGTCGGCCACTACGACTACTACCACCACGACCATCCGCGACAACCACCTGGACCCGGAGGGCCACACTACTACCACACGACGACCACACACACCCCGGCGTCTCGATACCAGTATTCACATCTGCACACCGTATCCAGCTCGCCTGCCATGGCGTCCGTCGCACCCGCAGGCCCGCCACAGCAGCAGCAGCAGCAGCCGACCCCCATGAACACCGACGCCCCTCCGTCCACCATCCCGCCACTCTCATGGGAAGGAGACAAGATGTGCGTGTCTCTGCGTGCTTAGAGGAAGGAATAGAGAGAGCTGATCGACGCCGTGGCGTGTGCACAGGTTCAACATCTACATCTACGATTATTGCTTCAAGCGCGGATTTCGCAAGACGGCGCGCGAGCTCATGTCCGAGGCTGATCTCCAGCCGGACTCGACACCGCCGATCAACGCTAGACAGGGTTTGCTCTTCGAGTGCGTCCCGTCCGAGTGTATGCGTTGCTTCTCATCTCATCCCGGTACCCTGTGCAGATGGTGGAGTGTTTTTTGGGTATTGTTTCAGGCAAAGTCGAATGGAAATGGCTCGGATGACGCTATGCTCTATATCCAGGTATGTCTGCTTCCTCGGATCGCTTATCGTCGACGCCTTCCTCGTATACTCACTACTCTACAGCACCAAGCAGCGCAACGACAAGCGAACCAACAACGGCTACCACCCGCAAGTGGGTTGCCACACCAGCCAACGACGCAACCACCCCCGCCCCACCCGCCACCGCAGCAGCAACCCGGTGGCCAGCCCCCGCAGATGGTGGGAAGGATGGTGAATGGGATCACCGGCGCAGGCGGCCCGATGGCGGCCAACAGTGCGATGGGCCTGCAGCGACCGCCCTCATCAGCGTACCAGCCTAATGGCATGATGCCGAACGGGGTCATGAACCCCGCCGCCGCGATGGGTGGCCAGCCGACACAGATGGGGGGAGCCCAGCAGCACGCCCAACAGCAGCAGCAGCAAGGCGGGCATCAGCCACCGATGGGATTCGTAGGTATGGGAGGCGCGGGTGGGCCCCCAGGACCTCAACAGCAAGCAAACGGCGTCCCGCCGGGACCTCAACAGCCACAACAGCAAGGAGGGCCGCATCCACCACCCATGGGTGGCCCTGGGCAGCAACCCGGTGCGACGATGCAGTTCACACTGTTGCCTGGTCAACAACGGCCTTCGATTAACGGGCAGCAGCAGGGGCAGCAGCCCCCACAGCAACAACAACAACAGCAAGGCCGACCTGGGCCTCCAGGCGCGGTGGTGGTGGGTGGGATGCCGAACGGGGCTGCGGGGGGACCGTTCCAGAGCCCGACGATGGCGCATACGCATACGCATCACGCACATTCGCCGCAGACGAACGCGGGGCACCCGGGCGCGGGTGTGGGTGTGGGCGTAGGGCAGGCACCGATGGCGGGCCTGGGCCCGTCGCCGCACATGACGCCGATGGGCCAGCGCAGTATGCTCCCGCCTAGCGCGGGCGGGGGGCCGATGAACCCGCCGACGCCACAGCAGCAGCAGGGTGGTCCGCCGACGCCTGGGTTCCAGCCTCCTGGAGGTGGTATGGGTGGTGTGCAGCCAGGCCAGGGCCCACTCTCGCAACAGCAACAGCAGCAGCAGCAGGCGGGACAAGGCGGCCGCCCACCCAGCCGGACGACGACCCCGCGCGGAGTTCCTGTAGGCATGATGCAGGCGAGCCCGTCGATGGCGCCGCGCCAGACGCCCGTAGGTCAGGTCGTCGGCGGCGGGCCGATGGGGTCGATGATGGGCGGGATGGGCATACCGAGTATGGGCGGTGTTAGTATGGGCGGTGTTGGAATGGGCGGGATGCCGGGTATGGGTGGTGGGATGAGTGGAGGGATGGGAGGTGGGATGAGTGGGGGTATGGGAGGTGTAGGAATGGGCATGGGCATGCCGAGCGTGATGGGCGGGCAGCCCCAGCCCCCTCAGCAGCAGCAGCAGGTGCCAGGCGCGGGTGTGGTGATGGGTGGGCAGGCCGTCGGCGTCGGTGGTGGTATAGGAGGGATGGGAGGACCAGGAGGCATGGGCCCAGGAGCAATGGCAGGAGTGGACATCAACCAAGAGTTCCTGCAAGTCCCGCAGACGCTGATGGAGCAGTTCAAGAACGAGCTGGGGATGGGGAACAGGGATATTGGGGCGCTGAATATGGGCGATAAGGTGGGTAAAGAGTTTGATGCTTGGTTTTGATTTTTTTCCTTGGGATGGGATGGGATGGGGGCAAATGCGCGACTGGACTGGAACTGGAATTTTGACGTGGAGGATCGACAGGGAGGGAGGGAGGATGGTTGGAAGGAAGGCGGGGGAAAGGAGGGAGGAGAGCGGAGAGGAAGGGAAGAGAGGAGGAGCCAAAAAAAAAAAAAAAAGAGGGACGAACGAGCAAAAGAAAGAAAGAAAGGTCAAATCAACTCCAAACGGTCTCTGTGCTTAACTATCTCATCTCATTCTATCTCATTTTTCCTCCTCCGTCGCTTGCCCCCACCCATTTCGTGTGATGCTTTGCGTTTGCGTTTGAAATTATCTCTATTTCGGTGTGCTCACAACGTGCTTTTTTCTGTTTTGTTAGGTCAAGATCGTCGGTCTTTGGAGACAGCGAGGCGGGGGGAAACCTGGGATGATTGGTGCTGGGGTGCACCAGCAGCAGCGAGCAGGAGGACCGGGGCAGGGAGGGCTACATCAGCAGCCTGGTCCGATGCAGAGGGTGAAGCGGGGGAGTAACTCGCCGGAGGAGGTGCGTTTTTTGATTGTTGTTTTCGTGTTGGATGTTGTGCTCATTGAGTCGTGTATCTGCTGTTAACAGGATCCATTATCCCGCAACGAGGCATCACCACCCGACCGGAAGCGCGTGCGGCGCTCGCCTGCTGAACAGCCAGGAGCAGCGGGGCCGTCATCAGCTATGGGCGGGTACCCGCACCCCCCTGGGCCGCCAGGGCAGAACCTGCAACTCCAGCCACACCAGCAGCAGCAGCACTCGCAACAGCAACAGCAGCAGCCTAACCCCCAACAGCAGCAGCAGCAGCAGCAGCAACCGCACGGTAACCACCCCCCAGGCCACCCGCCGCCGCATCCGGGACAGCAGCACCAGCAGCAGCTGGCACAACAGCAGCAGCAGCAGCAACAGCAGAGGATGATGATGCACCAGATGGTAGCGGCAGGGATGAATGGCGGGCCTGGGGGGCACCAGCAGCCGCCAGGGATGCAGCAGCCCGGCCAGCAGCAGCAGCAGCAGCAGCATCAGGGGCCGCCTGGTAGTGCGGGCCCGGGACCTGGGCAGCAGCAGCAGCAGCAGCATCCTGGTTCGTTGCCTATCACGCAGCCGCCGGTGGGTGTAGGCGCGATGATGCATCCTGGGTTGATGCACCCCATGCACGTAAGTCTCATCTTATTATTTTTGTTCGCGGTTTTGGGGCGGTCCTAACGATTTTTTTGCGGTATTCGCAGCCCATGTACCGCCCGAACCCGAATCAGCACATCAAGCCAGCGGGGATGAACCCGCCGCCGCCAGGACAAGGTGGGCAAGGCCAAGGTGGTGGCCTACCGGACCACGCGTTCAACCCCGCCGGGCCGTCGGGACCCGTACCCGGCCCCCAGTTCTCACCGACACCGCTGACGCGGATGGGCCAGACGCAGGGTAAGCCGTCGTTGGTGGGGAGTATGCCCGCCCAGTCGCCGATGAAGGATGGGGGGCAGAAGGATGGCGGTGGGCCGGGACAAGGGGGGAGTATGGGGAAGGGGCCGCAGCCGAATGGACAGCCTGGGGGCCAGCAGCAGGGACCGGGGCAGGGTGTGGGTGGTAGTACTGATCGGTCGCCGAGGAATGGCCCGCCGCCGCCTGCGGGTGGGACGGCGCCCCCGACGCCTGTCCCGAGTAACCAGCCTACGCCGTCCCAAGGGCCTTCGTCTATACCTGGGTCCATACCTCCACCACCACAGTCCCAACAGCAGCCTACACCTCAACAACAACAACAACCCCCGCCCTCCCAACAGCAGCAGCAACAACAACAACAAGCGCAGCAGAACGCGCTCTCGATGCTCAACCTGGGCATGGGCGGCATGGACAGCATGAGCATACCGATGCCGGGGGACATGATGTTCCCCTCGGACTTTGGGGAGTTCGACATGTTCAAGACGGAGGTGACGGGGGACATTAATTTCGAGCGGGACTTTGGGCAGTGGTTCAACCACCCGGAGGATGCGCTGGGGGGCGGGAGCGAGATGAAGTGACTTGCGGCGTCGGAGGGTACGTGGTGAGGCCAGGCCAGGCTCGGGTTCTGTGTATCCTTCGACCCCAATCTCTCTCTCTCTTTGGTGTTCTTTTCTGTCCCTTGCTTTTATTTTTGTTCGTTCGGCGTTGGCTGGCTTGCGAGCTCGCACCAGCGCAGTGCTCTTCAGCTTCATACCCCGCGTTCCTCGACGTGGAACGATTCCCTGACATACCCACCCACCCCCTCGTCATCGCATATGCATATGGCTCCTTTGGATATCGCACTCAACCTCGCACTTGCAACCGTCTGCTTATCTATTCCTCCGTACAAAACGCAGCGTGCTGTGATATGCAGGCGTCGGCCCCTCCCTCCCGCTGTCGACGTCATCGTCCGTCCATCCATGTCCATGTCCCTCCGCCATCTCTTCTCATCACCTTATCACACCTGCTTATCCCTTTATTCCCCCCCTTTTCTCTCACCTACTTTTTCTACTCTATCTATTCGTCCAGCTTGCATTTCCGACCTTGTTCCTGTTTGTCTTGTCTAGAATTTGCCCTTGCCCCCATTTATTATTTGTTTCCTTTCCTCTGTTCTTCCCTTTTATCTCTTTATCGACTGCGTCTCGTCCCTCCGCTTTGGCCTTGCTTCTCCAACTGTTGTGTTATCATACTGACCTCGACCTTCCTTCCGCTCCTCATGTGCCCTATCCTCTCCTTATCTACCTACCTACCTCCTTATCCTCATACGCGTCTCTTATCTCTCTCTCTCAATCTCTCTCCTCATCATCTCTTGTTTGATTAGTACTTCCAACTTACTTACCCTACCTACCTACCTCTTGCTATCTGTCGCTATCTTGGTTTTCCAAAAATATTAGTGCTTACTTCGCGCCTCTGCCGGCTACACCTGTACTTGCACCTTTTCCTTGCTTCGGCTTTTTCTCCTCCCGCTTCCCCGTCTTCATTTTTTTCGTTTTTTGTCGTGTTCGATGGTTCGACACGCGCCCCGATGATGCGACCGAAACCGAGAGGACACGACGTCGCTACTTTCTTGGCTGCAGCTTATTTCGCGGCTTCCTGAGACTCCCAAGTTGCGTTTCGGGCCATCTCTGCGACGCTTCCTTCTACTTGAAATTCTTTCTTTCATTTCCGGCTTCGCTGTTGCCCCTTATCTCCGTTTCGATTCCTCTCGAATTTGTCTTCCTCTCTGCCTCTATTCCGTTCTTCTTTCTTCTCCTTTCTCTTCTTTCTTTCTTTTCGTGACCCGTCTCGCCTCATTCCCTTGCATAGTGTACTCATCGCATCTCGTTAATCCCTCCCATCATTCACCGTATCTCTCTCACTGTCTTCTTCCTCCTCTTCCTCCTCGTGTCGTGCCTCGCCTCGCCTCGCCTATATAGTTCACAACTCTCTGCCCACATGTGTACCACCACCATCTGAATATCGTTATTCGTTTCTCTCGGGATGGAAACTTGCTGCCCCCCCAAAAAAGTCCTCGTGTTGTGTAAATGCGCATCGTGCCTGCATACCGTAACCTTCTCATGTCCAACTGTACACGACATGTCGAGAAGCCGGATTCGAAATCGCTCACTTTGGTTATATTCCAGGACTTGCTCCTTAATGGGACGTCAAGCTTCAAGCTTCAAGTCTCGGAATTGGGTCTAGAAGGACGGAGAGGATAGCAATGAGGCTAGGTATGTTTTTATTGCGGACACCAGGTGTCAGTGATATATACTGCCGAGAAACGTCAGACCTGTGGCATCGCCGTGCGTGGCGTGCTACGTGGCTGCTGCGAGCTGGAGGATCATGTCACTATCAGATCAACGCCTATCGATGCCTCGACGCTGTCCGTAGAACTGAGCTTGGAAGTTAGTTTGACTTTAACTCTGACGGCATCTTCTCAAGAACGCTGGGTTGTAGTGTGCAGTGTGCAGTGTCGACGAAAGCCTTGTTCTTCAAGTATTCGAATTCTTAGTAGATAGGTTGAGACTCGGAGGACACTATCAATAGAGATATTGTGAAGAGGGAACGCCTTGGGCCTTATCGATGTGATTTGGCCACCCCGCCACCAGCGCCGGACATGGACATGGACATGTTGTCGTACTTAAGTATTGTTCAAAAAATGATCGCAGTGCCATCTTTGTCCTGAAGGTCCGCAATGCGCATTGGGGGCCTTGGTCCTCTCACGCGTACGGGTCTACCTACATACGCGAGCTCGAGGCCTCTCCAGCGCTTCAGCGCCCAACGTCCAACTTTGGCCGCCTTGGGCCCTTGCAAGTTGGAAAACGGAATCCTCGTATTGGTTCGGCGGAAGTATGTCGGAAGTTCTATGACTCGTATGCCATGGGGGAAGTCGTCACTCCGGACGAGGATGGCTGTTCCGTCTCGGACACTCGCCGCGGTGACATTTTGTGAACATCTCCTTGTTCGGGCGCCCGCCGCGTGGACGATGGGTGTTGGGTTCTCGATAACGTGCCCGTCTTATGTACATGATTTCGGAATATAGTGAGTCCTTGCTGCGAGTCTATCACGCTTCGAATGGCGCTTCGACCGAAAAGCCTTTTCACCTGCTTGCGAGTCGACATCGAACTTCGACTCAGACGCTCTCCTCTGCCTTGTTGAACACACCGCTTCTCGTCGAGTATCATGCGGATTCAACACCTCGACGTGCCAAGGAAAGGGACAATGCTTCCAAAAACTTCAAATCTCGTGCTCTTGAGCCTTGAGCAATCGTTGGACCGAATGGAGGAGTATTGCCTTGTCATCGCTCGGCTGCTTGGAATTTTATCAACTTCGGACTTGGATGTGGCTCTCTTCTCAAAGATTGCTGTCCTCAAAGAAGGCTTCTGTCGGCGAGCTCGGATCCAGAGGAACAGACGGGGACGCATAAGGGGTGTGGCACTACCTGGTGGTTTCGGAGGGAAATGACCGGAAGCTTGTTAAGTAGGAAAATCAGAATGGGACACATGAGAGACTCCCAACGTTCAGGTGAAACGTCAACGATGGCCTCAGTACGGAATCTCTTGACTTATGAGGCGTACAAGGAGTCTCAAATACGATTTGGTAGAACTTACAAGTTGTGCCCCTGTGGCGTCCGGCCCGCTAGGAGTCCTGGGCGCTTGTTCCTCGATCGCAATTGTGGCGCACTGTGGCAACGACCTTTTATTCTTTCCGAACTCACCAACACTTTTGTCCTCATTGAATGGCGAAGTTTGTTGGGAGAACAACCACGGAGGCATCCACACGAGGCCACTCAAGTCCTTGCATAGTGCACAAAGTCAGTAACTAGGTACCGCGGTGGTAGAACAAGGAGGGATATAAAAACTCGATTCAAGCTTGAGGGAAGTCTTCTTTCGATGCCTAGGAAATCCAGAATGGACGCATGAGAGACTACTCTCAACGCTTGGGAGATGCTATGGAGACAGGTGGGCCTTTATAGAAGGGGGTACCTCAACCATGATGCTATGGCACGCTATGGAGTGCTCTGTAGCGTTCCATGGACTCCAACTGTAAGCTTTTGGAGGGCTGAAATCCAGTTTTGCTGGTGAAGTCTCTTGAGCTACACATTCATCTTTGGCCGTTTAAATAAGGGATCACAATTTTCAGGGGCATACAAGGTATCTGGAATACGAATTACGAATTGTGTCCCTGTGGCGCCCGGCCCGCTGGTAACTACCAAGGTGGGCGCTTGTTCCTCGATCAAAACGTTCTGCAATTGTGGCGCACAGGAGCAACTTTGTGATCACTCCACATCAGCGGAAGCTTTTGTCCGCATTTAAATTAATTCTAAGTTCACAGAATGGCGGAGGCAGTTCAAATAGCAGTTTTGTTCACTCTGCTAAAGGATTGAGGCCTAAGAAACAGATTGTGCAGGCCGATAGCCTAAGAGATCATACAAAATCAGCTCTGATGAAGGCCTGTACATTAAGGAGAGAGAGCTCGCCACTTCGATGCAGAATTCTCCCGTGTTTGTAGGGTGACTTGAAACCTTCGTCGGACTACATGAGTAACACTCCTATTTTCCTAATTCTGGCACCTGCATTTACTTGTACCAAGATGGCGAACCGGGAACTAACGCCTCCTTCAATGACGGGCACTTATTGATAGTTCTCGATAGAATAATGTCCACGTAGAGTTTTGGTAGCTTGTAGCTCTAGATATACAGACCGGCCGTTCCTAAATCCTAAATGGGGCCTCCCCGGTTAATCAATCCTCCTCGTCCTCGTCCTCGTGGAGTAAGCATGCAAAAGCAACTCACACGTCTTAGAAGTATTAAAACAAATACAGAATGTCAAAATACTCGTAAATTGTATAATACATTTGACTAAAGGCGAAGGAAAAGTAGGCGATACATATGTAGTCGATGAAAACGGGTAGACCTACTCATTCTACAGTCATGCCTATCGGACGTCAACGTGCTTCCCATGCTTCATCCGGTATTACTTTCAAATTTCCCGAATGCCTCTTCTTCTCATTTTCGAACGAAGAAACTGAAGGAGCTCTTGGGCGTAGCTTGATCATGTGGACGACGGGAGGTACAGCCCGCGAAACTGGTCTCCTGCGGCGGCGACGCCAGAACCACACAAGGAACGCCGCCAGAAGGAGCAATCCGATCCCTCCAACGATCCCAACTACGAGGGGTGCGATTGGTATCTTGTTCTCAACGCCCTCAAAACTAAAAGTTGGCGACGAAGAGGATGGTGTTGTTGCAGGGATATTCGTGACTTCCATGTAGGAGAGCGAGAGCGGCATGGCGCCGGTTGGTCCGAGGTACTTGACGGACAGGGTGTGGGTCTTCGACTCTCGCATGGGTGTCTCGAAGTATTTTTGGTAGAGCTGAGGTGTCGCGAAGGTACCAGGAATGGCGAATAGGACTGGCGCTTCGTCGTCGATCTGATAGCTTGCCGAGGATGCGTTGAGCATGCTGTTTGGTACCACGGTGTACCATGCGATCGAGTTTCCTAATAAATATGTAGAAGGACAGAATGGGGAGTCAAGGGACTTTCTCGAGTCAATGATAGAGATTAAATACCTGTGAAATCGAATGAGATGGTAGCTTCAGCCTCGTCGCTATTCTTAGACCCATATCCTGCATACGACATCCACGGCGAATTGCTGTATATCACTTCCGGGTCGTTGTAATCGACCTGAATGATCGCGTTTGCACTGGAAGGAGGCGAGTTAACGTCTCCGTATACAAGGCGATCGAGGTAGAAGCTGGGTCCTTCGGCGGTAATCCTCGCGCCTACTGTGTGCTCCCCAGGCAAGAGGTTGTCGTATTTGCAATAGATGAAATTATTCTCCGACGTGAGGCCAGCGTTTATCTTGCGGCCAACCTGAGAGCGACCATCGAGGACACAATCCCATGGTATAACTCCGTCCACGTCTAGATGGAGAGGAGGCGCGGTGCCCTGGAAGAATACGTTGGTGCCTGCATCGTCGTCAGAATCGGACGAGAAGCAAAGAGAAGTCACACACCATTGAATTTGAACGAGAAGCTCGCATTCACCGCGGTCGTGGAATGCTCACTCGCGCGGTAAGTACTTCCGGCATCGCCAGTGCTATCCAATGGCGTTCCATCAATCACAGACCAAACGCCGTCGTACTCAATGCGGCTATCTGAGTCGTCGATGACCACCCAGCGCGTAGGTGCTGCAACAGTGGCAGCCATAGCGAAGACCGGATGGCTTAAGAAGTGGGGGAAAGAGCAGGAACCCGACGATGAGCACACCCTGCCAGGCTTTTAATCATCACATTTGGCGCGGAGGCTTCAAGAAGCCGGAAGAATTAACATGGAAGTATGTCGTGAAAAGGTCTTCGGCGGCTGGTCAAGTGATACTGAGACCGTTTGAAGCCGAGTAACACTGCCCAAGCTCTACATACGAAGCACTTCGACGAAGGTTCAGTATTTTTAGAACTGATAAGTTAAACATACAAGTGGCGTGCGTTAAAGATATCCTGGAGTTGAGAGAGCGCTGTGTCTTGGGGTCGGTTGTACGGCTCAGGATTGAAGCGTCGAGGGAGAACTCGAAGGATAGTGCATCGAATGCCGTCCCGGGTAAGTGGTTTACTGTGACAGCGAAGCGGCTTATGAAACAATTAACGGGTAGCAACCACCGTTCTCATTCACATCGAAGGAAGGTTTACGTTACAACAAGGCAAGAGATTGATAATAGTGTACATCTATGATTTGAATGAAATGAGCCTCGAGTGACATCACGATTGGCGATTTAACACTCACAATAAGTACAAGTTGTTTTACAAGATGCTTGAGCGGCTTATACTATAGAAAAGTACAGCATTAGGTTGCCAATGAGACCAACGGAGGAATACAACGACGCACCCCATGGTCATCACTTTAAGTACTTCTCGCTATCGTCAGAGGAGACGGACGATACACTCTTGCGGCTTGAGGCGACAATCCCAGGAGTATGATTCCGGGATGCTGTGCGGTGGCGACGAACGAGATACCACACGAATAGCCCAAGGATGGTGAGGAAGGCGATCCCTCCCACTACGCCTCCCACGATGGGTCCAACGGGGGTTCCAGTCTCGCCTTCTACAATAGCAGTTGGGGTTGCCACGGGCGAGGACGAATTTCCAGTGATTCCGGTGCCTGTGGCACCACTGATCTCCAAGTAGGAGAGCGAGAGTGGCATCGCGCCAATAGTTCCTTCGTACTTGACGGTCAACTTGTGGGATCCTGATTCCAGGTCGGCTGTCTCGAAATATTTCTGGAAGAGTTCTGGCGTCTCCAAGTTGCCGCGGATATTGAACGGAACGGGGTCTTGATTGTCGATCTGGTAAGTGGCACTCGATGCGCTGAGGGAGGGTTCTGGAGCGCTGCCATACCAGACGACCGCAGTCCCTATCAGAGTGAGAAGATCGATTAACAACTTGGAGCCTTTCAAATAAAAGAGGTAATACCGGTGAAATCGAGGGAGACACTCGATTGGGGCTGATCAGTCTGCAGCACACGGTATCCCGCAAACCTCTCCCAGGATACGTCGCTATATTGAAGTTCCGGATCAGTATAGTCGACTTGGACGGTCTCTGGGGTGGTCGAGGTGCTGGCGCCGTATGAGACGCGATCCACATAGAACCTCTGTCCGCTGCTAGTGATCCTCACACTAAAGGTATGTTCACCGGGCGAGAGGTCACGATAGAAGCAGAGGACGTAGTTGTTAAGAGGAACCAGCCCCGTGTTGGTGTTGATTCCCTCCTCGGCGGTGCCATCGAGGATGCATTCCCATTTTACACGTTCAATGAAACTCGGTGCGCCCATAGCGTCGGCGAAGCCTTGCAGAGATACGGCGGTGCCTACAGATGGTTATGGCTTAAATAAAGGATCGAAGGCTAAATGCACTATCTAAACGCACCATTGAACCTCAACGAGACTGTAGCATCAGCAGCTGTAGTTGCATGCATTCTGCCACGATACGTTGGCCCAAAGTTGCCTATGTCATCGAAGGGCTGCCCATCGATATCTGACCACCGGCCGGTGTATTGAAGCCTGGCGTCTGAATCGTCGAGGACAACCCAACGGCTCGGGGTGGTGTAGGAACCAAAGGACATCGTGAAGTAAATGAGCGGCTTTGAACGTGCTGAAGACGAATGCTCTGATCAGGAGGCTCTTTATATGAGGTTTGGAGGTGAAGAGTGCCCGCATTGAATGCCAAGCTACATATTGGAGCACAGCAATGTGCACGCCATAAGCAGCGCTGGAACTTGAAAGGCATACGGTTACCCTTTTGTCCCTTGATGCCCGGGATTCAATGTGAGATGAGGGTGCAGATAAGATGGAGGTCTTACTTTACTTGCAGTGGGCCATATGCTTGTGGTCTTGCGACTGAAGTCTCCATGCGCCAGGAAGAGTCGAAGAAGTAATACCGCCGAGCAGTCACTGATCCAACTTAGCACACCCTAATGAAACCCGCAGCTCCGCCAAAAAAAAAAAAAAAACTAGCCTCTGGCGCAGAGGGCGAAATATTGGGATATGTATTTGTGACTGTAATAAAGTACAGGTGAACACAATGAACCTAGTTCACGGACCATCGCTCTAGAGATGGCTTGTGCCATGTCCAAGTTTCTTACAAGGTAGAAAGGAACCATAATTCATCCCTAGTGGGCACTGAAGCCTGGATGTAAGCAAATCCCCGCAGCCTCAGCGACCCTTTACTTGTTCTGCCAAGAGAGTAGAGCGGAATGGGTTCTTCTGCTGGAGAGCATTCTGGCGGCGTCGGCGAAGGAAATACCAAACAATGAATCCCAAAATGCATAAGAAAGCAATACCACCAACGACACCCCCCACAATAGGTCCAACCAGGGATTTCTTCTCGTTTGATAAACTTGATGGCGCAGTTTGCGTTGGCGAGGCTGTTGAGGATGCTGAAGAGGTGGAGGGTATGATGGGGAGGGTGGAGGTTCTGACGGGCACGCGACTATCGGTGACCTCGAAGTGAGAGAGGGCGAGTGGCATCGCGCCAGGAATCCCGGTGTATCTGACGGTCAATCTGTGCGATCGCGCTGGGCGTTCAGGCGTCTCGAAATACTTCAAGAACTGGCGCGCGCTGAAGTTTCCGGGAATGTTGAAGGGAACAGGGGCTTCAGTGTCGAGCTGGTAACTTCCCTGAGACGCATTGAGGGAGCCGTTTTCAACAGCAGCGTACCAGGCAATCGAAGAGCCTTTGATGCAAAAGAATCAGCTTTCGACTCCGAGTGAGCGTTGGAAGAAATTGTACATACCATTAAAGCTGAACGAAACGCTTGAACCAGGTTGGTCGGCGTACGTGCTGGACGGAAGTCTGGGCATCATGAACGTCGCCCAGGAGCTCCCGGTGTATTGAATCTGCTGGTCGGTATAATCCACTTGGATAACCCGCTCACCCGAGAGGAGGGTCCCATTCGCCGTTCCATACCCCAGGCGATCGACGTAAAAGTGGTCCTCATTCGTGGTAACATTCAAGCCAAGGGTATGTTCCCCAGGCGAGAGTCTGTCGACTTCGCAGATAGCGAAGTTGTTGAGGGAGGTGTCCCCAGCGTTATTGCTCAAGGTCCCGGAGCCGAGGTGTGGTTCGCCGTCGATAAGGCATTCCCATCTAACGCGCTGAGGGACGCCTGGTTCGCCGCGAGGTGCGACGGAGCCTCATAAAAACACGTCCGTTCCTGCAGAAAATTCAATCTCGAAAAGATATCAAGAAGTTTTCGACACGCGCACCATTGAACTTGAGGGAAATAGTGGCATTGGCCGCCGCCGTCGCCCGCATTTTGCCACCGTACGTTGGTCCGAAATTCCCAACATTATCAAATGGCGTTCCATCGACATCCAACCATGGGCCAGCATATTGGATGCGCTCGTCTGAATCATCGAGAATCGTCCAGCGCGTTGTGATAGGAGGCCTGCCTGTGGACATCGTGGGGAAAGGGTTCGCGAGCTACAGCAACAAGGACCTTTATACTACGGATGACGGCCCTGGAAACATAGCTATAGCCATCTCAAGAGGGAAGCATTCGAGGAAGACAAGAGATGCAAGAAGGCAATTATACACGCCACGGGATATCAGTTGACTGCTCGAGAGGGTCGATTTTCATCCATGACGCCCGAGAATCGAACTTTGAAGGCAACACTGACGGCAACGACGATCAAGTCATGAAGCTTTCCTGTCTAGGACGCTTGAGGCATTTCTTGACTTGAACCCTGAAGGTATGATATCCAAGATGGCTAAGTACTTTTCGAGGAGATAAGACGACCTCGTACCTCTGCATCCTGTGATTGTAGTCCGAATTCCTGCGAACTGTCAAATCACCGTAATCAACAACGCGAGATTCAAGACATCCGTGATTAAAAACATGAAAGACGAATTTAACACATTGGTAAGGGTATATACAAGCACAAGCGGTAGAGTAGAGTATTTTCAAGGACCGCGCGGATGAGAGGAAGGTGACAAGGGGGGGGAAACAACGTTAACAATATAGAACGACTTTAATTTCAAGAAAGGATTATGCTACAATCCACCAAACTCCATCCATGAAAAAAAAAAGTCGGCAAAAACCGCACCGCGTTCGATAGTCATAGGAAGATAAAGCACGATCAAATATGGAATAAGGATATGCAATGGTTGGTATCCCGTCAGTAGAAAAGCGAGTGATAACTCCGATCATCCTGCTCGCAAGGAAATACGAGTGCGCTGCACAGAAGTAGAAAAGGGCTGGTCAACAGACGTGGCCGAACAATAACATAACGAAGGAGGAAAATGTGTGAAATGAAGAAGAGGGTGTCGACCAGGACTATCGTCTTGGTCGAACATCACATCACAGATGATCTAGCTGGTTTGCTTGGCCGGACTGCCCACCGCCCCTCCTCTCCGTAGCGTAGCAAGCACTCGCGTCTAGCTGGAGCTTGGGTCAATAAACATAGCACGTGAGTCAAAAAAGCAAAGGAAGGATGAAGATGGTATCGAGGATGTGAGATGGATGAGGAAGAGAGGAAGACGGGTATGCGGAGGGACGAACGGGCGAAGCCCGACGACATAGGAGGAGAGGAATCAAGAGGCCATGACGAGAAATGACAACGAAGACCACAGGTTAACCATGAAATGCGCGGTTTAGAATCCGCCGTAGGCATCCTCAGGATCGTACACGGAGTACGTGGTGCCACGCTTCTGCTCGTTGGTCAACTGGGGCTCAGCAGCGTGAGGGGCCTTGGCTGTCGAAGCGGTGGCTGCGGCTGGAGGAGGCGCCGGTGCTACAGGCGACGTCGGAGAAGGAGCATAGCTCGCGGCGAGCGGGCTGGGTCCGGCGGGTGCCTTGGATGCAGTGGCGAGCGGAGCAGGTCCAGCGCTCTCCTTCATCGTGTACTGACTCACAGAGACCCTGCTCTCCACCTGGATTTCAGGGAGGGTGGGCGGCATAGAGTCGATGCGATAGCGGGAGGACGTGGTGTGAGCAGGCGATGGCGGGACGGGGAACTCGAGGGTCTCGCTTTCGGCTGAAGCAGGACGGCGCTTGTCGACGACGTACTGTCCTCCAGGGCTGGGCGGCGCGGACGAGGGGTCAGCAAAAGGCGACGCATCCATGGAGTTATACTTGGGCGGAGGGGGAGGCGGCATCTCGCGTTCGACATCAGGTGTTGGCATGCCTGCAGGCACTTCTGTGTTCAGGCGACGAGAGATCTCGGCGTATTGGGCAGCTTGGAATGGCGAGACGCTTGCACGGGAAAGGTCGACGTAGTCATTCGCCGGGATGTTCTCTTGCTCGAGCTGGGTGTGAGGAGCACGAGGAGGCGAATGGGGACCGTGGTGCGATTCCTGCGAGCTTTGGCGCGTAAGGACGGGGTAGGCACCAGCATTGGACGCCTGACGGGCGAGGCTGGGATGGTCGGGATATTGGGAATGTCCGGGGTATTGGCCGTATTCGCTGACGGGGGTTCCAATGGGCGAGAAGGGCGATTGCGTGTAAGCGGCATCTGGGTACATGGGATGAGCCGAGTTAGCCATCATGGGAGACGGTGCGCCATTGTCCATGCCGATGACCTGTCCAGGAGTGAAAGACGGTTGCTGGTACCCTGCGCCATATCCTGCACGGTTGTCCCCGTAGTAGTCCTGGTTGTAGTTGTCGTAGCCATTGCCGAACGGAGGTGGCGAAGAACCAAGACGTCTTTCCACCATCGACGGAGGGCGAGGGTTGTACCCGCGTGCGACGGTGTCCTCATGGGTCGGAGGATCATTCAGGACCATGGCGGAGCGACGGAAATCGTGGTCATCGAACGCGTTAGCTTCACGCTTACGAGCTCGGCGCTATGTAGTTGTGTTCATTCTTGATCTACAAGAGAGAAAACTTGGCTCACAATGAAAAACGTCACAGCGAAACCGAGGGCAGCGATGGCGACAATGCCAGCACCGATTCCACCAACAACCGCGCCCGTGCTGAGTCCAGTGGATGCCTCAGCCGTGGAGGTCGCACTCGCGACCAAGGTAGAAGACGCCGAGGTCGACACGCGGGAGTTGGTCAAGGAAGTGATCACAGTCGGCGTCACGACTGTGGTTTGCTGAACAGGTGGTGGCTGGGTATAGAAAACGTCAACGAAGGTGATGCTGCAAGGGCGAATATACTGACCGTGGTGGTAGTCGCCTGGCTCGTCGTCGTCGGGGTCAAGGTGGTCGATGTAGTTGTCTCCGAGCTTGCTGAAGTCGACGATGAAGACGAGCTGCTGGTGCTGGCGCTCGTTGACGTGATAGAGGGCAAGTCGTCATTGGTGGGAGTAGGAAAGACTAAAACGTCGGAAATTTATCAGTATCGTGTCAATGGTAGAGACAGGTCTTGAGAAGGTAAAGATGTTAGAGGGAATAAGAAAAAAAAAAGAGGCATGTAAATCATAGCAAATCAGGAGGTATACACAATCGTTCTACTTCACCATGAGGCCTTGGAACTAGCAAAGTAAGCAACAGGCGGAGAGAGATTGAGGCCAGCAACGGACGGCCCAAGAGTAAACGAATTCGAGAGGCTAGAGGTTCAGCGGGTATTCAATCCCATGTGGAGAGGGACCACAGCACGAAGAGGGCGACCGTCAAGCCATAACTAGCCTCACGCCGACCCAGACTTGAAGAACATCGGGCACGGCCAGCGCCCTGAGGTTGGCAAGTAAGGCAAGAATGTCCGTGGTGCACCAGATAAACTCCCACCGAAGCTATGCTTCCACATGTAAATCCACTGAAATTACAGCCAGGTTCTTGGAAAAAGAAATTCCAGCAGTGGAATGCTGCTGGTTCTTGCGGGAAGCCCAAAACAGAAAAGTCCGACAAGAAGAGAGAGCGACAAAAAAATGAAGGTTCAGAGGAGGAGAAACGAATCGCGTTGCTCTGCTAATCAACAGCCGAGTGCACGTATACCTCGGCTGGTCGAAAGATAGGACGCGCAGGTCAACAAAGTTTTGGAATCCAATCATGGTGCAGCAGCAGCCTCGAAAACCTCCAAGCAGACAGAAGCCGCACCAGGCTTACGAAACTCGGAGGGGCGGCGTTAGACCGTTTGGCCATGTGCGGAAGAAATCATAATAAGAAGGCGCCACAGAGACGGCGAGCTCTGACCCAAAATTAAACCCAGGGCCAACAAAATCGGGCAGTTGGTCAGACGCGACAAAGTCCTACATGACAATGTCAACCGCCTGAAGAACGTTGGGCTCCACCACCAGCCTGTGCTTGGCACGCAAAGCGAACCCAGCCACTACACAGCAGAGGAACTACTTCCGAAGTCGTCCTTGCCACGAAAACCCCATATTGATGTCCCGATATGATTCTTGCGAAACGAAGTCGCGGCAGCAGACAGAATGGGGAATGGAAAGCGAAGAAATGGTAAATTCAACTCACGAATGCCTGTCAAACCACCAAAGATGTCCGTGGTAGTGGTAGGACGACTCGGGGTGTTATCATCGTCGTCTCCGAAGATACCACCAAAAATGGCAGTAGGATCGAAACCAAGCTGGCGGCGATGGTGAGCTGCAGCAGCGCGACGGTGGTGGATGTTATGCGCAATCGACATCTTGCACAGATTACAGAAGTTGGTTGTTTGTCTTGAGAAGGGTTTCTGTCCTTGGAGAAGCTTCTAGGAGGCGTTACGGGTCGGAACGAGCGTAGAGAGTGTCGAGAAAAAGAATGTGGGTACCCCTGACGAGGGGAACGGCGGCGGTAACGACGAGGAGAACGTCAAGGGGTGGTCGGGGGGTTCAAAAAGGAGGAAAGAAACGCAAGAAACGGGCTGAAAATCGCAGGGTCACATGCCGTTGCCATCATTGCTCGGCAACATTTGACAAGCTTTCTTCCGCATGCTGTTTGAAGTTTGCACCACCCCGCATGCTGTTTGAAGTTTGCACCACCGCCATCCCCTTACATTTCTCCGCCATGCTTCGTTAACTTCAAGGATCGGGCTTGGAGATAAATTCCGTTCAAGTTATCTACACGCCTTGAAGACCACTGAAGGCGAACTTTCTCCAAGCATCCGCCATGAATGCACACCCAGAAGTAGAATCTATCCATCACGATTGAATCTTGATATCTGCGTTCTAGGTAAGTCGAGAATAAGAGCTTACTGACAGCCTCGTTAACGATTCTACCTCCAACAAAAGCGTTCCTAGAGACTTCAGAAATGTCGAACAGCTGCGACAGGAATAACACCGTGATTGTCCGTGCTACGGTCCTCAAGAATGGGAGGACGTAACCTCAGGTCGGACGTGCACGACGATCGTGGAAGGAACTGATTACGATGGCTTAATTGTTCGACATTATTCGCGTACGGGCCGTTAAGATCCCCCTGGGTTTGAGACTCTGGAGTGAGAATCGAGGTTGAGGCCTCCGAAGGCGCCTCGGCAGTTCATTGTGAAAGACCACAATGAAAGAACGGTCCGATGTCTTCTTGCTGCCTTCTTGAGAGCAAGGACGTCGTTGTCGTTTCCCGCGCGCCATCCTACAGGTAATATTTTCTTTTGCTCGTGAGAGGTCGAAACGCTGACTGTTCTGTTTCCAGGTCTCATTCTACTGTTCTCGTCGCGATGCGGCGCACCTCCGGCTATGTTCCATACAGTCACCTATGATTCGACCTACATTCCAGTCTCTGACCCCTCAGTGGATACCATGTCGCATTACCACAAACTCTGCTCCCAATAGCCCCAGCCTTCCTTCATCAGCCTTCTTGTTTGCCATGTCGTGGCCTTCAAGTCCCCTCCCCTTTCGTCTTCAACACGGAGGCGTTATGCCTCCTCAACGCATCATTTGCCTATTGGCATGAAGTTATCGTGTATGGGAGTCGTTCTTACGCCTCCTAATGTCAAATATTTTCTTATCAAAAGGCTGTCTCTGCCCCTGCCAACTATGCAACCTATTTTCGTTGTCGAGGCGAGCACGGAACCAAGCACACGACTACCCTCCCGACCAACGATTTGTTGTAATCTACTCGAAAAACAAATTCCTGCTACTGGGTATCATCGAAGGGCAACTATTTAAAGACCGAAGAAATCGTGATCAACGCTCCTCCCGCTTGAACTTCCAGGAGTAAGGCGTCATAACGGGCGCCGGGGCAGCCTCTCTTCCCATAACAGCCGCCACGTATGTCCCGGTGCCCGGGTCAGCGCTGGAGGTCGAGCTAGCATAGGCCGAGCCCGACGAAGAGGATGTGGGCACAGCAGAATCTGCTGCGGCGGTGGCGGAATAGGAAGCTGACGCGGATGTGCTGACGCTGGCAGAGGCAGATGCGGACACGGAGGATGCGATCTCAGAGGCTAAGGCTGCGGCGTCTATCGACGACGACGACGACGACGCGGAGGTGCTTGTACTGGGATCGGCGGACGAGGTGCTGACCGCAGTGGTAGTGTCGTCTGCAGTCGAGGAAGATTGGAGGACCATCTCCATTGAAGCGGAAGCAGACTCAGACGCAGACGCAGGGGCAGCTGACGAGATTCCACCACCAACGACCTCGACGTTCAGGCCAGTCGCAGCAGGGTCCGTCGAAGAAGCACTATCGGTGACCGAGGCAGTGACCGAAGCTGGATTGAATGAAGAGGTAGACGAAGCGTACACTGTCATCGTGGTCGTCGTCGTGACCGCGCTGCAAGTCGACTCGCTCGTATCGACATCTGCGGCTTTCGCCTGGCGCTGAGTGGAGATGAAGACCAGCGTAACGTTCCGCGCAGGTTGGGTACCAGCAGCGTCGTCTCGTGAGTCCAGTGATGCCGGAGTCGAGGAGGAATCCGCGCTGCTGCCGGTCGCTGACGCACTTTCGCTAGCCGAGGCCGCAGTGGCCGTTGGGTCCTGCGATATCGAGGTCGAGCTCGAACCCGATATGTCCGACGCGTTGGTGCTATCTGACTTGCTGTCACCCTTCCCAGAGTACCACATGGGGCGAACGATACTAGTGCCCGGGTCATACTTGAAGAGCTGGCTGGCAGTCGCGCTGGCTGGGTCGAACCACTGCTGCATCGTCAGAGGCTCGGCCTTGAGTGGGTTGGGGTTGTACGTCGCGCAAAACAGCTGGGAGTCCGTGAAGGAGATGCACAGCTTGATATCCCTGTTGCTATTCTGGGTGCCAGTGCTGGAGTTTGTTGGCGTAGAAGACGAGACGTCAACGAGGTATAGTTGAGTTTTGTTCGTGTCGGAGGCGTTAAGGATGTAAGTGCCATTCTCGTTGGCGAGGACAAGATAACCGTCGTACTTGTCCTCTAGTGAACCGGGCGTGGAACTCTACGGTTTCCTCAGAGAATATTCGGGCGCTGGAAGACAAGAAAGAGCGTACCATTATACCGACGGTACCGGGGGTACCAGTCCTGTTTGATTGTGACGCGGCCCACAGAGGTGGCGGCGCTCGCCGATGCGAAATGACATAGTCGCTGCCACGATTATTGGGAATAACGATCGACTTGTTCGTGCGCCTCCTAGCGTGGCTTTTCCTGGTACTGGCGTCCTGGTGCTGTGTGGCATAGGCGAACACGACATCAGCGATCCGCACGAGGGGACTGAAAGCGTTGAGGCTATGAGCCATCCTCTGTCACAGACGCAGGCAGTCAGCCACCTTTCTGTCATCTCGACGAACGTGCAGGAGAACACTCACCACCTCGTGCGTTGACGAGCCAATATACGGAAAGAAGTTCTGCGCTGGAGGAGAGCCAGCGTCGGGAGAGGGAGCGCGCGCAATAGCGGCCGCAGAGGCAGCAGAAAGGGGCGAAAACGACTGAATTGCGAGGCTACTGAGAGCAGCAAGAAGAGTGAATCGAGCATCGAGGACAAGCATCCTGCGTTAGCGTAGGGGTCTTGGGTTTTCTTGTTTTCCGTAAAGCGAGCGTGGGGGCGTAGAAGATGTGTTCGCGACAAAAGTAAACAAAGGGGCGAGGCCGGCCGCGGTGCTGCGAAGATGGAGTAGATGTGTATGTGTCTTTTCTCTTTTATGGTATAAAGAACGAGAGCAAAGATCACCAGGATCCGAGAGAACGTGAAAGCAAGAGGAAAGAAGGGTTAAGCCTATGTTTCGTCCGGCCCAGATATTTATGTTGCTCTAGAGTCGTTGAGTTTCAGACTGAGCTGATGATTGACAGCCTCCTTTTTTCTAGACGCCAGCCGCGGTCTCACACGACGCCATCGTTCCAGTTCGGGAAGGGCGATTGCCTGATCGGGAAAGGCTGTGTTGGAATAAAGCCTAGATACCCCTGGAGTCTTCGCTAATGATAGCATTTCCGTGCTAGGTAAAAGGGGCATCAACCACCTTCTACCCTCGAGGTTTCGGTTCCATTTCTGCGTATTGGGTATATCCTTCTCAGGTAGAGCGCCGAAAGAGGCGCTCAGCACAGCCCTGCGGAGTCAAAATGACGTGGGTAGGCGAACGGTCTCACTTGAGCCCCTGCGCCAACTTACAGAAATAGCCTTTTTGAGATGCCATGGCGTTTTGACTCATGCGAAATAATAATATTCATTGCAAGTCGCGTTCACGCTGACCTGACGCACGAAAACTTTCCTAGCCGAACGCAAATAGTCCTTGACTACATCAGCAAATCTTGTTTTCCAGTCATAGCGCGGTATAGCATATGTCCTGGGCCTTATACTATCTAATTGAAAAGATGTAGCAACCTGTAGTATGGGATTGCTATCAACCCATGGCAGAATGCTCTGGAGCGACGTGTAGCGGATGCTGCGTGGGTCCATAGCATCCCGTAGCAAACGCGAGGCCAAGAAGTTTGTCCGCTTCCTTCACGTAATGTGATCTTATCTCGAAATCTAAGTCATAGAAGTCCCATCTGCTCGTTCTCTTCGTCTAAGTTTGCGAGACCTCCCCTAAACTGGTCACGCCTGTGTTGAACTTCCCGAGAAGGTATCAGCCTCGAAGTTGCTGTCCCACGCCTTGAACTTCAACTCACATCCATGACCATCTCTCGCTACCGTCTGCTCCTACCGCTTCCCTATTCGTGGCAACAACACCATGCGTACGGCGTCTGTGTTACTATCCCATCGTCATTCGACTGGCCCTCACCAAGCCCTCACAGGACGACGGTGCAAACAAGTTCGACGTTGGGCTCCAGGCAGTGGAAGCTAAATCGGTGGGTGCGGACATGAGCGTGTAACCCCCCTTCTTACGGTCTTTCCTTCCATTCATTGCTCAATGAGCTGCAGCATGGAGCTGCCCAGGCCGCGAAGTGATTAAAATCAAACCTTTGGAGCCTTCCAATCATTCAATCGCATGGAGGGGGTACTCATGTGCGTTTCCTTCAAGCTCTTTTTTCACTAGCTTATCACCCTGACTCGAAAATTTTGCGTCCATGAATAGCATTCGACTTCAACTTCATTCCCAAATCCACTGCTTTTGACCAGGTGAGTCGACGATTCTTGATTCTCGCCTGGCATTGGGTGGTCTCTAGGTTGTTAGGAAGCACGAATATATGAGAGCGTCATGTCCACACCGCGTCCACCGTGATCAGGATGACTCGGTGAGGCGGCTTGTAGATCGCAGATAAGTATGGTACCTTATTGGGTTCAAATTGTATTAACCCGGCTCTACATAATGCATATACTCTTCGATTAAGGTGTCAAGTGGGATTTGGGATAACAGTCAATTCCAACATTAATTTATTCTGAGCAACGAAAATGTCCTATTTCAGTTTCTATACGGGGGCACGACAAAAGTATGGACTCGCCGTGCAATGGTACTGAGTGCTCCGTAGCATTCCGTAGCATTCAGAGTGTGATACGTAGCCCAAGCAGGGCGCTAGGAACAAAAGGATGTCCACTACAGTGCTACAGTGCTACGGAGTGCTGCGTAACCTGGTGTAGTGTGATCAGGATTTGCTGATGTAGCCACTACTATACTCATGCTGTGTCGTGTCAATCTAAATATCCTTCACGCAAGCTCTCCAGGACGCTCTAATTAGCGACTTCCTCCTCCCGCGTCTTTACCATACACATCCCAGTGCATCTGAGAGCACTGCCCAGTCCTGCTGTCTCGGCCTTCCTCGTAGGCACCATCCGATGACATAGGAACCTGATAAATCACTGGGTTTCTCCCAATTTTCTGCTTCGCTGGGCGTTCGCGCCGCTTGCCTCGGTGTTTCTGATCTTTTCGCGATTGTGGGTGACTTGCTTCGTTCTGAACTGAATTCTGTTGGAAATCTGGCAGATTTCGGTCTGGCGCTTGTCCCGCAGGCGGGTGGTAGTAGTTGGAGGCAGAAGCTTGTGTTCCATGTGCCGCATTGTTTGATGGTGCGTAGTAGCCGTATTGTGCGTGTTGGTGCCAGTAGTGAGCTGCTGCGCTGGTGGCGGGATGTTGATATGGCGACACGTATTGGAAAGGCATCATCGGGTGGTAGGCGTACGTGTGGGGGTAGTAGGGCTGCCAATGGTACATTGTTGATGATGAAATACGCTGTGTGCTACTCGACGGGTGTCAATGAGGAATTGGAGTGTATAAGATGGTCCGCACTTCCTCCGGCTCCTTTTATTCACTACACCCCTCAGCGGCGCCTATCCCCATCACGGCGGCTACCACAGTGTTTTGTTCCTTTTCCAGCTCACATACCACCCACTAGATTCACATACCTGCAATCATCTCGCTTCGGCGCTTCCGACTTGGAGCAGTTGGTGGGATGGTGGGGTGCGGCAACGTGGTTTATTACCGGATCAGGAACTGTCGGGCGTTGTGGGTCCATCGGACGGACAGCCTTCCGACCCTCCGGCCCGTTGCCGTAAAGGGGAGGCGGTCGAAAACACGTTGACTGCACGAGGCGTTAAAACATTTGCACAAGGCTCATAGGCTTCTTCGACAAAGGCCTCATCCTTTGTGAGTAGCGCCATGGATTGAAGTGGGTCAATGTTATCGGCAAAAAGAAAATGCATTGGACGACCTCAGACGAAAGCGGAGGCTCAATTCAAGCCAGTGCAATGTGGGTCGGCAATTGGTGTTACATTTGACGAGACTTTGGTAAGAAATCCCTTTCATTTTCCCGCGCTCCGCGGGACCGGATGACTTGCCCTAGCTTCTGGTGTGTACCCATACCTCTCCTTATAGAGTGTGCATAGTACACTATACACTTCCCGAAAGGACACTATAAAGGAGCTTTCCATGTTCATCCCCTTACTTAGCTCAAGGAGGGTATTAAAAATGAACTTTTGCGCCCCGAAGGACACCAATCCTGACTAGCGAGAATTAAAAAATATCTGCGCCACAGGACACAAATCCTGCTGTTGCGCCATAATTTTCACGCACTGACGTCCGTCGCTCGGGTTCGGACCAGCGAAAGGGAAGAATCTTGGAGGAAGTGGATTGTATGGAGGGAATTTGTCCGTACCTATTTGAAGCTACAAGGAATTGCGTATGAAAAGCCTGCCGGAAACACAGAATGTTAATCAAATGAACAAATTCATGTTGCCAGTGCCCGCCGAGTGAGCTGCTGGCTTACAAAGGATCACCCTCCGGGACCTGTGTCAAAAATCCGTACTAGTAATCCGATCGAGCCTGGTGTTATTGATTGAGGCGACGGAGAAGGGCTAGGTATCCAGCACTTGAATTCACGAGTGTCACTATTTTGAGCTGCACGGCGGGACGCCTCTGCAACCCGACTCTTGTCCGCGATTATAACAGTGTGACGTGTACTTACTGTGCGTTCAAGCGCCAAATCTGATCTAGAGGCTCAAGAGCGGACATTCTGCCTCCTAGACAGTCAAGAATCGCCTGACTACATATTTGCTTCTAACTAGTGATCCTGTGACCAGGGCAGGCTTGAAGCTGATGAGTACGGGATCGCTGCGGTTCGGATAAGTAACACCGTTGTACTAAGTAGTTGCCGTCCCTTTCGAGATTCGAATGGGTACACCATCTTCTACGCGCTCTACATCGATGGACTAATCACTTCTAGATCGTCGAATCTCCCAAGAAAAGTTGTGCTGTCCACGGGCGCTCCTTGGAATGTGGCGCAAGAATAGCCCAACTCCCTGCCCGAAAGAAACCTATGCAACTGATCTTCGTTGATGGATTATGACGAAATTCCGTGGCGATCACGATATATAGCTTTTCGGGAGCCGCGATGTATGCTTTCAACGATGCTTTCTGATTATTCTTGACTCGCCGTCCGCGGAAGTCGTGTGGTAAGGAAATAGGGGCCTTTTCCAAATTAAGAGCTCCAGACCCTTTCTTGACCGTGAGGCATTCTTTGGTCTTCTGCTTTACACTTTCACATCCTGGTTGTGCGCCTCAGATCCAGGCGACATATCTCCGCAACAAACTGTAGGGAACATGATGTCTTCAGCCATGTTTAGGACCGTGAGGCTCTCACCTCCACTGAGGCTTCGCAACCGGCGACACAGCTCTTCAATCAGCGTCTGTCCCTCTCCTTGTTGAACACGACTCTTTGACTGCTCGGAGCTGAAATGCCTATGCATAGGCCCTGTACGCTGCTTTCAAGGATCCTTCATCACCTTTCCACCTGCCACCCGGAACTCCAGGTCCAGAATCGCCTGACACTCCATCAACACATGCCAACCTGAGCACCTTAGCACGAGAATCCCCGAGCAGGATGGAAGCCCTTGAGGAAGCTAAAGAGACACTGCTGCAAAAAGGATTTGATCCGCAGTCATTCTGGGAGCAGCGCATCGTCTGGGGTGATCAGGATCCGTTCCAGTGAGTTACCGCACCTTTTCACCAAGCATGCATGGTCTTCACGCGTCTCTTCGTCGCGAATCGCAGACATGTGAACAACGTGCGCTATAGTAAGTGAGTCTAGTTATCTCAGCCCTCCGAAGCGCGTGCTAATCTGAGTTTTTCCGTGCCGGAAGTCCGATTCTTTGAGTCGGTGAGTCCGTCGCCGTGCACCACATCTGCTGTGACTCAGCACGCTGCAATCCTCGCAGGCTCGTATCAAATGGATGATGTCTCTGGGAGAGGAACTCGGTGGACCAACGAGAGCAGAGGCGATGATTAAAGGAAACGGCGTCTCTCTGATCTTGAAGTCCATCGACGTGCAATTCAGACGTCCGGTGACGTTCCCGGACACTGTATGCTTGCCTATCGCTGTTGAAATTGTTTCCTCCCTTCTCACAATTGCGTTGTTCTGCAGCTCTTGATCGGATACCGCCCCGTGCCTCCCGCGAGTGGTCATACCGATGTTGCAACGTTCCATGTGGCAGCATCGGCATACTCGCTCTCACAAAAGGCATTCGTAGCCCATACAAAAGAAGCTTTGGTATGGTACGATTATGATGCTCTCAAGAAGTGCCACCCCGGAGAGAGGGCTCTGGAGACCCTGTGGGGCCGTGTTAGGGAGCCATAAGCTCTCTAAGATTTTATCACGATTACGCGCAAGGTCCCTTGCAATACGATAATTACGTTATATGCGCCATGAATGTACATGTCAGGTAAGGCGTACTTGGGAGAAGGCGCATGGTGCCATTCATGGAAGAGATATACGTTAGCGGTCCATATTTTTGTCCAACGATGACACAGAGCACCTCACAGCGAGTGGTGTTCTCTTTTGTCAACATAGTCCAGAATCTTGAACACGACTCTGTCGATTCTGCCGTCCTTGGAATCCTCGGCATTCAAGAACTTAGAACTGCATGATCTTCGCCCGGTCAACGCCATAGCCTTCAACATAGGTCGCAGAAGAGGAAGCCTGGATGGAGCGTGAGTAAATTCCCAGTACTTACAATGCACCACACAGACCATATTGAGGGTGTCGAAGAACTTGAAATTGGTGGTTAACTTGCCTATTATTTATGTACTGAAGTTTGGTTCCAACCTTGTAGTTACTGGTCCCGAATCGATTGTCTTCTCTTCCCGTCGGCATTCCTCTCATCACTGCCCATCCAATGCCCATCACGGCCTTCGGTGGCCTTCGTTCTCCCACAGCTTTTGTGTGGACGACATCCTGGGCTATTACTGGGCGATAACACGACGCTGCGTACCGATTAGACTGACGGATCCCAGTGGTAGTCCGAGGGATTGACAAGATGACATCGATGACACGCTAGTGCTGCATGCGAAGTCCCTACGCAGTTCCTGGAGCTTGAAAATTACCCTGCGGTGGTCTTGGCGCGTCGGCGGTCGTCAGTGCGCCAAATACGCTGATTGTATGCAGTGGAGTTGCCTATTTCGTTTGAGCCTCAGTCGCCAACCTCGACCACGGAGTGGTCGAGACTGCTTGTAAAAGTCGGTCGTTGTTTTCCCTTTTGCTCTGCGTGAATGACGTGTTCATTTTCTACCCAGTGACAGCCGAGGATCTGGAGGTTCTTGAGATGCGCTCGAACGGTCGATCTGCTTGAAATGATAGTGAGTCGGCCATCCCGCGAACTTCCTTTCCTTTTTTTACCTATCTCCGCTCATCAGAATTTAGGACGCGCCTTCTACTTACAGGCAATTACACGCAGAATATTCCCCCGTCAACGCGCTCCTATTGAAATCGACTGCAGACCTTATAAATCCTAGCATGTTCCTTCTTCCCCCCGGTTTTTCTTCTCCCTGCCCTTGATCGTCAATGCTCGTCCCTCTTTCGTTCCTTGACGGTCCTGTGGTACCGGAGGGCTCCTCCCTTGGTCTTTCCCTTGGGGACATGATATCAAAGTCTTCCATTCGATCTCTGGTCGATTGCCTTTGCTCTGGCCAAAACCCTGCAATTTACGCTCCTGATCGCACTCGACCACCATTACTGCATGACGACATTCGTACCTTCGTCTCCAATTTCGTTATGCCCCATTCACCTAACCGAAAACAACTTGGTCGTAATGACAGGGTTATAGTCGCCCTGTCAGCTGGCCCCGAAAACGCGCTTGCGCTACTGGCGTTGGGAAGCTATCACTCGTGCGCTCCAGTCAATGCGAGCTGCACCGCTTCGGAATTACGAGAAGACGCATTACGCCTCAGAGCAAAGGCCATCGTGACTACTAACGACATCGCGACACGACTCAGATTGAAGTTCCTCCAAGAAGAGCTCGATTGCGAATTGCTCTACGTTATACCACGATCATCGGGTCCAGCTGGACTATTCAACCTGACCATAGAAGGCGACGCTGGTATAGTCAACCCGAGACAACCCGCAGAACCGCATGGCCTAGATGACAATTCCCTCATACTGCATACATCGGGCACAAGTGGAAGGAAGAAAGTTGTGCGGTATTCGCTCCGAACGCTATTAGTAGGTACTTGGTGTGTGGTCCGTTCTTGGGACCTAAAGCCCGATGACATTAATCGTATGTGAACTTCGTTCTTCCATCGGCTTACCAAGGAAGAAATGCTAAAGATAAGTTGTAGTGAACATGATGCCGCTTTTTCATGTTGGGGGACTGGTGCGGAATTTACTCGCGCCAGTCCTTTCTGGAGGCAGCGCTATAATGTGCCTAGGCTTTGACCCAAATGCTTTTTGGACCCTTGCGTCGCAGCTTAATGCCACATGGTCAGTGAAGCCGTCGCTACGATCTGAGACGTCGACGTTCGCTAACTAGGGCATCTATGTCTTGTAATAGGTATTATGCCTCCCCTACCGTCCATCGTGCCATTCTCTCTGCAAAATCCGATACCACCGTTCCGTCAAGAGATTTACGTATCCGATTAATCTGCAATGCGGCTGGAGGACTTCTGCCTTCCCTCGCTCAGGAGCTCAAGGCCACGTTCGATGCTGTCGTCCTTCCATCTTACGGAATGACTGAGTAAGTAGACAGCCGACTTTTCTTTTCCAACGCGGGACTTACTTTATTGCTTCCTTAGGTGCATGCCGATCGCTACGCCCCCAACGGATTACAAACTTGACCGTCCAGGGTGCTCAGGAATTGCGTGCGGACCTTATCTCTCCATTCGTGATCCCCATGACCTTGAACGTGAAGTACAAACGGGTGAAACGGGCGCAATATGCGTTCGTGGCCTTCCGACTTTCGACGGCTATGAAGTTTCCCCCGACACGAGCGTTGCTCTTGACACTTCTACATTCTCTATGGAAGGCTGGTTTGATTCTGGAGATGTTGGTTACATGGATAAAGATGGGTACATGCGCATTTATGTACTCGCACTGCGATACCTGCTGACTGCTGGTCTAGCTATTTGTATATCACCGGTCGATCGAAGGAAATCATCAACAAAGGCGGAGAAGTCGTGTCACCTTTTGAAGTCGAGGAAGCTATCACAATCGCGGCTAAAGACTGCGTGAAGGTGTGATATCTAGGTCTTTTTTTGAGAAATTCTATTTTGACATGTCTATTTTAGACAGTGCTAGCGTTTTCAGTTGAGCACGACGTTCTTCAGGAAACAATAGGCGTTCTGATTGTACCTGCGTTAAATCGGTCTCGTGTGAGCTTGCAGCAGTTACACGATCTACTCAAGTATGTCGCTGAGAACTATCTGGTAACTATTGGCTCATCTGCGTTCAGAGGCCGTTTACATCCTTCTAAATGGCCATTCTTCGTTGTCTATATTGACGAGATTCCCAAAAATAGGTCCGTTTGTTGACGCTGACTTTCGTATGCTTTGCTCATTCGGATACGTAGTGCGGGAAAGCCCCTCAGAATAGGTCTATCCAAACGGCTAGGCATTGGGATTTTGACAGATAATGTACCCTATCTGCATCGTCATTTCGAAGCCAGACTGCCTGCAACTGGGTGGGCGTTGTCGGAACCTATTTCATGCACCCGAGTCTCAGTCAACGTGGATGAAGTTCGATGTGCGTTGCGCACTATCGCAGGCGTCGATGATGTTGCTCTGCGATGCCGCGCCGACGGCTCTGCAGATGCTTATGTCTCTATTGCTCCCCATTCGACGGTTGTGGGAGGCCACTTGACTGGCTTTATTTCTCAGTCCCTCCCAGGATATGTTATTCCGAATACCGTCCGCCTCGTCCATGGACCCCTCATCAAGAGCCAATTCGGTGACTACGATTTCGAAGCCATGGAACAGCAATTGTCGAGAACATCCGCTGCTTATATGTCTAAACGGCAACTCCTTGTGCGCGATATTTTTGCGGAGATCTTGAATGTCGATTCTTCGCGTATCCAGACCGACTCCGATTTCTTTCTCCTGGGAGGAAATTCGTTGCTTCTCGGCAAGCTATCGTACCATGTTCGCAGACGTTCAAGCGTCAACATTGGGATCGCGGAGCTGTTTTCCGACAGTACTCTTTCCGGCATTGCATCACTCATTGAGGAGAAGGAGCCGGTAGAGACTGAATCGGAGTTCTTCGAAGAAGAAAAGATAGGCGATACTGTCAGTTCATCCACGACCACGTTATCTGTGGATTATGACTTTGAGAAAGACCCAGAGTATACTCAAACGAAACGATCACGCGGCCAGAATCACCCCTTATGCCTCATCATCCAGGCGTTGCCATTCCTCTTCTTTTATCCTTTCAAAACTGCGTTAACATGTAAGTACCTTTTGGTCTCGATATATGCGCATCTAACCTTAGTTTCAGGGACCGCATTATTATTCATGCTATCTTGCCTGGCGCATCTCACTGTCGGCTCCTTCTGGGAACGATTACTCGCCCTTCTTACATCTATCATCGCAGCGAGGCTACTTGCACGCGTCGTTTCCCCTTTGGTAGCGATTGCGTTCAAATGGATCGCGATTGGTAGATATAAACCAGGTACATATCGAATGTGAGTCGCAATGTGATTCCTGGAAATACCTTCCTGAATACTCTACCTCAGGTGGTCATCATATTACCTACGTTGGTGGATTGTGAATCAAGCACTCAGGTTTGTTAACGGCGCGTAGTTGCTTTGCCGCAGACAGCTAACTCACCCGCTGTTCTGCAGGATCTCGGGCCGAGGAATCTTTGCTGCTCATCCCTCTTTGACCATCCTATACTATCGTCTTCTTGGAGCTCAAATTGGCAAGGACGTGGTCATCGACGAAAACACGAAACTGTTTGAATGTGATTTGCTCATCCTTCAAGATGGTTGCCGACTGGACACTTCCGCTCTTCGTGCATTTTGTGTGGAGCGAGAAGGGTTCTTTCGTCTTGCGCCAATCACCGTCGGACGGAGGGCTTTTATAAACACCTACACCTCCATCTCCCCAGGCACCTCCATTCCAGACAACACTGTCTACGGCCCTCATGCGTCTTCTTATGATGAGCCATCTCCAAAATCGTTTGCCGCGTACAATCGGACCTTACTAGCTCAACCGAATCTTGCTCTCCGAATCTTCGTCGCATGGCCAATCATGCTCACTGTCATCTTTTTGTCATGTATGTGCTTTTTCCGTCCTATTAGCCCTGGCGACTTACTCGGTTTCCCCTCAGACGTACCTTGGATGCTCGCTATCTTCGCGATGATTGATCAGACCCACATATCTCGCGTAGGATTGAATGACATGGAGTCTATCATCTGGTGGTTTGCAAATCCAGAACGTGTCCTCTATCACGCGTTGGCAAGGGTGGTTCGCGCGATATTCAGGCCTCTGATTCAGCTGGCACTAGGCATCGTAGTCAAACGGGCATTCGGCCTCAATACTGAGACGACGAATATGACCCTTTCTCAGACTGTTCTTCTGAGGCGATACATCAACTCGATCTTGCTCTCGGACAAGTCCTTGAAGGACGCATTCTCAATCTTGGGCACCCATTATGAAGTCGTCTCGGTAGGTTGTTCATAATGTCTAACTTATTGCCGTCATTGAATGCCCTACCCAGATTATTTATCGAGCTATGGGTGCCAAAATCGGAAAGCGCATATATTGGCCAGGTTCGGGCATAAAATGCCCAGATCCTGAACTACTCGAGATCGGTGACGATGTCGTTTTCGGGTCTCGTTCGGCTCTGATTACGACAGATCGATTGGGCTCGGGGAAAATCATGATTGAACGCGGGGGTAAGATCTCAAGGGTTTTTGTTGAATTTCTGGTCCTGATTGTTTTGTGTTAGCTATGATCGCTGATCGAGTCGTCCTTTTACCTGGAACCCGCGTAGGGGCGAGGGCCGTAATGGGTTCAGGTGCACTTGGGAAACGTTGCACGTCGTATGCTGCCGGCTCGACATGGATCGGAAACGGTGAGTTTTTTTTTTGGCACTTTCCAAGGCTACTCGAGCTTAGGACTCTGTGTTTGATAGAGGGCGGGGAAGCAGTTTGCTTGAACAAAGGAGCTACAGATTTGAATCAGGAGGCCCGAGATACGATAACACCCTTCGGGAAAGCGTTTTACAACAGCGAAGCCAACTACTTGGTTCTTACTTACCCATTCATCCTTGGCATTAGTATCCTCGTCACGGCACTCTCTGCGACATATTGGTCTATCAGCGCTGTCGGTGCCGCGCAGATCTTGCGATATGTCCAGATTCACCTTCGCCATCTACAGCTCTTCAGGACAACCTGGCTTTGCTTTGGACTTCTGTACGGTATCATCGCCATCTGCTTCGTCGTCCTCTTGAGCGTGCAAGGAATCCTTTCCATCCTCTGGGTCATCGCTACGAAATGGCTCCTCATCGGTCGACGTCGTGAGGGCCGGTATGATTGGGATCAAAGTAGTTATTGCCAGCGTTGGCAACTTCATCTCGTCTTATCTCGATTCATGTCCAGAGGATTTGGATACGGCGGCGTCCTCGCGCCGTTGTGTGGCACATCATATATTGTTTGGTATTTCCGGGCTCTTGGAGCCAAAATTGGGGAGAACTGTTCAATATGGGCTGGTGGGAGGCTTGGTCTCATGACGGAACCTGATCTCGTCAAGGTCAGTCCTGCATTCTCGCCGCGTTAGGATTGACCACATTTTCTTTGTCGTAGCTCAGTGACAACGTCAATCTGGATGACTGTTCAGTGGTGGCTCATATCAACTCACGCGGGCGTTTCTCTTTAAACCGACTTTCCATTGGCGATGGGTAGGCAACTCCGTTTCAGCCTCAAATATATGTCTGACTGAGTGGCAGATGCGCCATGCGCTCAGGATCAAGGCTGCTCTCTGGGGCGTCCATGGAAGAGAACAGCGTGCTTTGTGAACATACACTTCTCACCTCAGGCGAAGTAGCTGACTCTGGTGCGATGTACGCTGGCTGGCCAGGCAAGAGGCTGCAAGATCACCCCTCTGCAAAAGACAAGGAAGGCGGCATCACGTACTCGGCGATCTTGACCTGCCCAATATGTCGGCGATTCCCAAAGGAAAGCACAATGGTCAACAATTGCGGACACCTGTTCTGCCAAGTGTAGGTCCCCTTCCTCGCAATTTGTTCCTGGCTTATTGGCAGTGTGCTGCTTCAGATGCATTGCTCGTTCACTTTCAAACAGAAAGCACTGTCCAGTTTGCATGGAGCCTTCTTCTCTTTCTCACCTGAGGAAGGTTCATCTTTCGTTCGTCGCCCCAAATCGTGATTGAACTGTTTTTTCGTCATTTTGCTTTTTTTTTCATGTCATTTTATCTGAGATAATCAGTGTGTTAGAACTACTCGGGAGGTGCAAGTACTATAGGGCATAATGAACGGTATGATAACTCGCATGCGGTCTCCTCTGTTCCATAACTTATAGTATAAAAAACTGGAGGTGCAAGAGGTGCAATGAATAAGCGGCGGATGTCTAATGTACTTGACAATAATGTAGAGAATAATCACAGTGTTATCAACGAATGAGTGCAGGTATGGTTCTCAAGGGTCGTTCATATGCCTAATCAATGATATTCAGCTCTCGTAGACGAGCCTTGGCGAATTCGTCTTTGTACGTATTCCAAATTCTATCATCGGTTTTCTGTTAGTTAGGGCAGAAATTACAAACTAATTTAAAGACTGACCGTGTAAGCTCATCGATATATTTCTGTTGTACGCGGATAACCTCTTCTAGCGTAGGTTTGTCGCATTGGTCCACGTGTATGGGCTTTCCAACTGTTCACAAGAGATTATTCAAGGTGCCAACATATGCACCATGGCTTGATACGTACTGACGGCGACAATTCGTCTTCGATAGGGCATTAACCCCAGATTATCTATCGACATAGAATTGAGGACAGTGAGGAAACGCCAAGCAACGCGAGGCTTACAGTTTAGCAGACCTCTCCCATGGAAAAGGGGCAATGTAAACCCGAATATTGACTGGAACTTGCGCTGTAGGGCATACACAGTCGTTCCTTTCTCATTGGGCATTTGTTGGTAAATCTGTCGACAAAGGCATATCGATTAGAGGGCGAGGATCGAGAAAGAAATACAGGAAGACACACATCGTTTTCGCCAAACGAGAACACAGGTACAAGGTCGGCCCTATGAAAGCAAGGTGCCATCATGAATATATGCGCCAAATTTAGTCGTAAATCAGCGCACGAACCCATGTTGGATGGCGACCTTGATGAAGCCCAATCTGTATACCAGACTTGAGTCAAGAAGCGCATACAAAAGGGCCAATCGCGTACCGTTTTCGCAGAGTCAAATCCGCTGTACCGGGATGCGCACTCAGACTCTCCGCTGCACCACCCACGACGATCGTAATGGCAGACCCAGGCCCTGACTTCAAGATATTCGAGCACGACTCCTTGCTAACGCTGCATACTCCAAGTGCGAGAATAAGGTCCCGGTAGAACGGAACTTGAAAGTTGGTCGTTAATGTGAGGAGGTGGGGTTTAATTCCAGGGAAGGCAGCTGAGAAGCCTGTGGCTGGTTTAGAGGGAGAAAAATGTGAATACGCATAGACTAGAGAATGAGAGTTGGTTCGAACCTTCTGTGGCAAATGTTGCCAGTGCTCCCCTGTTCTCGTCAAGCTAGGGTCAGGCCACGGATCTGGAGTCTGGAAAATTATACGCACATTCCGATGATACCTGGGCTCGTGGCGTTCATTAGACGTTGAAAGTGAATACTGAAGGGCTCGTGCTCACCATGAGGATGATACCCAAACACGTATGGTCGATCTGCTGGTAGATCGGCCTCCTACCAACGCAAGACATTGTCAGTTCAGTTGCAGCCTCGCTAATGCGTCCAAAACAATATACCTTCAGAAACCTACAATATAGTCAATACAACCCCAACCCAAAGTACGGCTCAACGACGTAGGACTTACGAAGCAGGATAATAGTCCGCGAAATACTTCCAAAACCTCGACGACCTAAACCAATAACTGCTCCGTCCTCCACGCTCAGGCGCACGGTCGATGAATCGCGCCCAGATATAATATAGCGTCAAGAACGGCCACAGCGGCGGGATGGCACTGTAAGAGAGCAAATGAAGAAAAGGTTAGTACAGGGTCCTCGACATCCGTCATGTTACGGCAATACATGTAAGCAAAGGATGATAAGACAAGGGGTCTGGAGCGAAATCAACATTTTGGCAGAGAAGTATGGCAAGGATACAACGAGGAGAAACGACTTGGAGGAATGCACGCACCATAGCATCAACCACGCGCAGCTCGCAATTACAATCATAACCGACCACATCGCGACCGCGAGCATTTGCAGTCTCCTCTTCCTCGGGATCTGGGAGGGCACAAATCTGCGGAAAAGCCGTGGTCAGCATCCAACCATCCATCGCCTGGTCTAGAGGCAAATTGCCACTCAAGACCGAACGGAGAGCCCAAACACGTACTCGACATTATGCAGTGCAGCCGCGACGGGATTAGGCACGTTCAACGGTGTCGCCGCGAGCTTTGACAGGCGCTCCTTTAGCGTGTTCGCAGACAGCGTCCGCGAGGCCTTCGACAGCCCCCCACTTGGCCGGTCACCCTTCTTCGTCGTCGACGGCATGGAATTGGGATGGAGCTTTGCAGTTGACATCATTCTTCACCACGGGTTCCCTGCTTGTCTGGGCCGGCGTTACGTTAGGCGTCGTCGAAGGCGGAATGCGCGTGGGTCGCCTTGAATATACTGGAGAAGAGAGAGAGAAAGGTGGATTGAGGGCGGCGAAACCCTCAGGAGATGGTGGTTAAAGGAGAGAATATTGTCCGGCTGTAGAATGGAGTCCGCAAAGTACCCGGACATGCTTGCCTTGAAGCGTGAGTTAGCGCTGATATCATTCATCCCATGCTTCCCATGTGAATCCGTGCCTTGGAAGATGCCTCTCGAGCAGCTGGTCAATTAGCATTTGAGAAAAGATCTAATTGTTGCATTCGAGACGGTAAATTGAACTTAAACTACGATACACAGATAACGATGAGGCAAATGCTATGAAACAACAAAAACAGAGGATTGAGAGCTCGTATTCGCAAGTCCATGAGGTAGAGGCATGTGGTGGATGGACCCCATTTTGACGAGCCCTCAAACTGCGACTGCTTCTTGCATACTGTTACGCATACAAGTCGTCATCGGCGGTGTCATCAGCGAACCCTGCGTTGCCGGTGGCGGCCGCCTGCTGGGCGGGTGCGCCTTCACCCTCAGGGAACTTGAAGTTGTTTCCGAAGCCGCGCGATTGTTGCAAGTTCTGTTATCACAAACAATGTCAGAAAGACCAAGATAACATGAGAAAACTGCACAGCGAACCTGAGAGAACATCTCGTAACGGCGGATGTCCTGATCAGAGACAGAGCGACGCGCGTACTTCATGGCCTCTTCAAAGTGCTCTCTGTAGACATAAAGTCAGAAAAGATAAGATAAGAAATCGATTTCATTCAATACGAACTTTGTGATCTGAGGGACGGGGTCTTCCTCTTCCTCCTCGTCTTCTTCCATCTTTGCGTCCTCAGCCTCTTCACGCTCCTTCTTTTCGCGTGCACGCTGGATGTCCGAATCGATCGACGCACGAATAGCAAGCTTGGCTGCCCGTTGGCAAATTTCCGTCAAATCAGCACCAGAGAACCCATGGGTGTTCTTCGCCAAGAAGCTGAGGTCCACTTCGGGTGCCACAGGCGACTTCTTGAGCGCAGCCTTGAGGATCGACAGACGCGAAGGCTCATCAGGAAGGGGAATGTAGATGAGCTGGTCGAGACGGCCAGGACGGAGGAGAGCAGGGTCGATTTGGTCGGGCCTATTTGTGGCGCCGATGATAAATACGTTCTTCTTCGCGTTCATGCCGTCCATCTCCGTAAGGATCTGGTTCAGCACACGGTCGCTAGCACCTCCAGCATCGCCTCCAGCAGCACCAGAACCGCGGGCCTTGGCGATGGAGTCCAATTCATCGAAGAACATGACGCAAGGAGCGGCAGCGCGAGCCTTGTCGAACACGTCACGGACATTGGCTTCTGATTCACCGAACCACATCGTGAGGAGTTCGGGGCCCTAGAAATTATACGCTATTTAATGGGATTCGTCAGAAACTGGATTTTATGCACACCTTGATGGAGATAAAGTTGGCATTGCACTCGTTCGCAATGGCCTTGGCAAGCAAGGTCTTACCCGTTCCAGGAGGACCATAGAAGAGGACACCCTTTGACGGCGACATACCGTACTTGAGGAACTTCTCGGGGTGCTCGACGGGGTACTGCACGGTCTCCTGGAGCTCAAGCTTAACCTTATCCAAGCCACCAATGTCGTCCCATGTGACGGTCGGCACCTCGACGACGGTCTCGCGAAGAGCGGAAGGATTCGAGGAACCAAGGGCAAAGCGGAAGTTGTCCATGGTGACACCCAGCGAGTCGAGAACCTCAGCATCGATGGTGTCTTCGTCGAGGTCGATCAGGTCCATCTTCTCGCGAATTTGCTGCATAGCAGCCTCTGAGCACAGAGACGCGATATCAGAACCAACATAACCATGAGTATCAGCAGCAATCTATTTCAGGGACATCAGCTATATCTAAGCGAAGTGAACCTCGAAACTCACCTGCTCGAGGTCGACATCGTCAGCAAGCTTCATGTTCTTCGTGTGGATGCGGAGAATTTCGAGGCGTCCAGTGGGGTCAGGAATACCAATGTCGACTTCACGATCGAAACGACCGAAACGTCTAAGAGCAGGGTCTATCGAGTTAGGCCGATTAGTAGCGGCCATGACCACGACATTTGAGCGTGCTTTCAAGCCGTCCATGAGTGTCAACAATTGCGAGACAACGCGACGTTCGACTTCGCCATTTGTCTGTGTACAGAGTTAGTTCCAGCAAGAGATTGAAAAATGGGCGAGTGCACCTTTTCACGCTTGGGTGCAATCGAATCGATTTCATCAATGAAGATGATTGCGGGCGAGTTCTTCTCAGCCTCCTCAAATGCTTTACGGAGATTACTTTCACTCTCGCCGGCCATCTTGCTCATAATTTCGGGACCGTTGATCAAGAAGAAGAAGGCACCGGTTTCGTTCGCGACAGCACGAGCCATCAATGTTTTACCGGTACCGGGGGGCCCGAACATGAGGATACCACGGGGTGGCTTGATACCAATCGATTTGAACAGTTGTGGGTGGCGAAGAGGAAGCTCGACCAGCTCGCGAATTTGGGCCATCTGTTTCCGGCATCCACCAATATCGTCGTAACCAACATCGTTAAGATTTGATTCTTCATCCTCTCTCTTGACTGGGTCACCCTCTGAAACGAAACATTAGATGTGTATGTTAGAAAAGAAAGAGCGCACCTGTATGGATAACCGTATCTTGAGCCACAATACAGAATTCTGCAGGGTCGGTTTCGATGACCTTGAATTCAACCGTCCGCATTCCTCCGCGGACCAGGAAAGTATCACCCTTGCGGACGGGGCGGTAGGCTTTAAGTATTCAAATGTCAATGATGTGTCTCATAAAGACGCAGGAAGACGCGTACCTTCGAGAAAGTATGGCTTCAGGTATACATCGAAAATGTTGCCACTGAGACCCTCGATAGAGTCGTCGAAGGGTAGCACATGCACCCGCTTTCCATACTTGATGTCGAGACATTGGTGCACGTTGACGAGATCACCGAGCTTCACGCGCAAGTTGTTGCGGGCAACTTTGTTCATCTGGATGCGACCCTCCTCGACATCGTCAGAGCTCAAGCAAATCAGCACGGTATCGCGTCTCTTCTTGCCGCTAGTGAAGTAATTAGAGAGCATGCAGAGATGGTAGGCCGAACGCAATTACCGAACGATGATGGTATCGCCTCGGAAGAGAGAGAGCAGCTCCATCGTCGCCGGATTGAGGGTCGCGACTATCCCGATCATGAGCACAGTAACCAAACTTCAGGCGGTCTTCCAACTCACCAGAGTTGTCATCCGCAGTCGACTCGTCGACGATGAGACGATTAGGCCTGAAAGTGCGTAGGCGCGCATCAGACGAACTGCTTTCCGACCACAATTCCACAACAATACGTACGACTTTTTTGGTCGCAAAATCGCGGTCGAGATGTCATCGGGACCAGGTTGGGGTGGTGCACCGCTTGGATCCGCCATTATCAAGGGTTTGTAGGTGGCTCGGGAAGAAGTAGGTGTGTCGGCGAAAAAGCCTGAATATAAAGGAAAGAGAGATGGACGCGCGTCCTTCGTTGGGGTCCTGCCAAACAACATGACCAAACTCATTTAGACACGTGGCTATTCTCCTTCCTTCGACCATCTTCCACCATGTCAGTGCATTGCAAAGTAGTGCAACAGATTTTAATACAAAAATACATCTACATCTCCTCGTCATCCAGGTCGAGTTCCTCCACTGGGAAATCCCCGACTTTAACCTTGTCTGGCTTCACGAAAACGCCGTAGTTCTGACGACAAGAAAAATATCGCTCGCCTTGAACGCTGGAGCATGATAAGATAACTTTCAATTCGAAACCAGAGCAGTGAACTTACGAGCCATCGTTCTTGCCGAGAGGCTCGTCGTACTCGACCCCAACCCATAAACCTTTGCTGAATTTCGTCGGTCCAACAAAACGCACAGTGCCGCGCTTACTCAACCCCGGTTCGGTTGACTCAACCTCGCATCGAGAACCTATTGGAACGTCCACGTTCATCTCTGACTGATCCTCTTGTTTCGCTTCCTCTTTCCCGGAGAAACGGCCGATTTTATTTCGCTGCTTATAAGCAAGGACGGTATCTGCACGGATATGTCACCACGGATGCCCGATCATGTCGTCTAAACGGAGCTCACCGTTTCTCTGCGCATATTCGGCCTCCGAGATCTCGAATTTCTCGACTTGAGATACATCCGTGAGTTGTCCGGTCAAGGTATCTGAAGGATTGGTATCGGTCACTTTGATCACTTGCCAATCAGCCAACCCGTAAAATCCAAGAGGTTTTGATTCATCAGTGAGCTCCGTGAGGACGCGAGAGTCCTGTTGAGACGCCAATAAGGAGAGAGCCTGATGTGATACAGGTATTCCGGTAATGAGCTCTAACTTTCCCTGTCATTGAGAATAAATCACTGAGGATATGAATAATAGAAGAGCGGTCTGTGAGCAAAACCGACCTTGAGCTGTTCAACAGTAATGTGAGGGTCGATTCGCCGCTCAGAGTGCGTGTCAGGGGAGACGACGAAGACGTTCACTACGCCAGTCATTTCAAAAATCTTCAACGGTAAGAGGCTGGTTGAAGTTCAAACTTGAAAAGGGCAAACATCGATTCTCGACGATTAGCCGATAGGGGCCAGATCTGCTTCGTCTTATCTTATCGTACTCTCGAATTTCGAAGATTCATGACATTTCCTCGAAGTACAAATGCGTGATAAATATGCAATGGGCGTTTCAGCATCATTCCATTCATTCAAACCTCTTCCAGCGTCGTGATATCATAAATATTTTGCTCAGCAGCGGAGCGTAACGCCATCGTAGGGTCCTACGTGGGGAAAACAAATCAATCCCAAGATCCAATAACCCAGCAAAGAAAATAGCTTACCACTGTGGTCCCCGCTATTTGAGACGAGGATGTTGGGAACAGCGCCGATCGTGCATTGCGAGTTGGTGTTGTCCTGACCAGGGCAGCTGATCCATTGGCCGGCGTCGTTGATGTGGACTTCACCTTCGGTGTGTGCGAAGCCCAGGAATCGTCCGGGGATGATGGGGACCGGGTCCTTCTTGTTGTTAACGCGGACCATCTCTGACCTGGCATTGACATAGTTGGCGAAGGCCTCATTGCCGACCTGAAAGGAGGGGCTTAGCTAAAGCTCTTCACGCAGATTGAACGCGAAGCTTACACGAGGAGTGCCGAAGGTGTAGGTCTTGATGGTCGTTCCAGCAGGCAAGTTGTTTGCCAAGTGAGCACTGCTGATGATAGCAATAGCTCCACCCAAGGAGTGTCCGACGACAGTGACAGTCGTTGCACCGTGTGTCGTCAATCCCGACCTGACAGCCGCGAGAACAGCGGCTGCCGATCTAGCAAAATTTGAAATGAGTTTCAAATGAAGTATATTGCGCAGTCGTGGAGCTGACCTCCTCTGTGCTTCACCGAAGCCGTTGTGAGTCCTGACCGAGGAGCTGACACCTGGGAAGAGTCCGCTGTCAAGCCCGTCCAGTCTGAAATCTGCATTCGTAAGGACAGGGATGCTAAAAATAGGTCAGAGATATGGAGCAAGATCACGTTGTGCATGTGGACCTACATCTTCTCGCTCTCAGTCCCTTGGAATCCGACAATGATGGACTAATGAAAGAGCAGGTATTAGAAAGAGCGACTGAGTGCGGGGATAATCGGTGACTTGCCCTGAGGTTTGGATCGTAGCCAACATACCAGTACTGGGTCACACCGCCATCGCCACCAGAGTCGATGGGCCTGAAGGCGGCATTATTCTGGCAGTTTGCTATAAACGAAACAAACCCTCAGCATTGATCATGATCACGATCCTGATGAGCACTTACTGCCACAATCCCAAGCCCTAGTTCTGGCGGGCACGCAGTACGCAGCGGCAGCGTAGTACGAGTAGGGCTTGACGGCGGCCACCTGAGCAGCTGAAAGAGTGGATATGCCCTGGCGAGCTTCCAGTACCGGGACAGCTGCGACGCGGGCCGCGAGGAGAGCGAGGGCAAATACAGAGGCAAAGATCATGACGAATCGTAACGAGACAGAAGCCGGAGGAAGAGGGAGGACACGACGAGGAGGACGAAATCCTTGGAGATTCTACGTCCTCTTCCTCTGCTTTTTAAACCTGTCCCAGCTTGTCAAGGACTATTCTCGTAGTCTCGTCAAATCGGATCCTCCCATGCTCGCCTCAGCTCGGCCCCAAAACATCACAGCCAAGCCCTCTCAAGACACTAAAAAGACGACAAGGCGGTGATCAAGAGCAATATCGGGGAAGAGGTCCATATGCATCGCGCTCCAAAACAGGTAGACTCTGAACGTCCAACTTTTTGCTTGCGCCATAACATGACCTTTAGGCTAGGTCCGCTGATGTTTGAGCGCCTGCACCCAATGGACACGTGCTCCTCTCCCCAGAGCAAATTTAACTCCGGGCATTTTGATGGAGGACATTGGACATTTATCGGGGGTGGCTGGGTTCGGAGCGCAGGAAGCCTAAGATCACCTCGAGGCTTGGAAGACGATAAGGACGGGATGAGAACACGATGAACGTGCCTCCAAAAATCGAAAGAAGCACCAGGAGTGACATAAGGTTCGAAGACTGGCGAGCTATCGCACGTTTAGTGACTTTAGTCGATGTCGTTCTCATTGGTAAGTTAATTGTGAGATTCCGTCACGACAAGTCTGGTGACCACATACCAGCACACTCCACTCCGCTAGGTATAGTATTGCGAGGAACACTTCCACATGTGCGGCCAATTTGTGCCTAGCAAGGCCGATCAAGTGAGCGCCAAAAGCCTTCCAATTGTGGGGTAAAAACGACACGTGGCGCGATGACTACATGCTGCAGAGATGCGGTCTTGACATTTTCGCTAACGGATGTATATGATTGGACGGGGCAACATCGGTCCACTTTGCTAGGGAAGCTAACCGACCATCCGAGCTCTGTATCAGAGGAAGCGCGCCTTTTTTCTGAGAAACCATCGGCGCCTGTTGTCGATCCTACAAATATTTGGGGTGGATTCGTCCGAACATATCCGTTCTATTTCAAGATTTTGGAACGGGAGCGGACATAGCGGGTGTCAGAGCGAAATCGATGAGGGTGGATCTGCCACGAGAGCGCGCTGCACCTGGAGCTTGCAGAAATGGGCACTGATCGATCGATGAATGACATCCAAGATGCCTTAGCGAGGTGTACGATCCTCCTTCCCGCCTGGCACATCCGTTCTCGTATCCCATGATGTAGTCGACTGACTCTAGCTGACTTGCAGCCAAGGTCACTTGCCTGCGCAGTCGCGCACATCGTAGATATTGCCATTGAATCTCTTGACAAGAATTCGAACGAACGTAGAACACCACCGCTCTGAAGATGTTCATGCGACATATAACCTGTCACGAAGCAGTAGAGCTGAAGCCCAAAATGAGACGAAAGACTTACAAGGGTTATGACCGAAAAGCCCGCAGGCCATGTGCCTTGCAGGCTACCCACAACTTCATCACGACCCACCTCGTTGCATTCATGTCGTTCGTGGCCTCACCTCTGCGGGCCTTGGCCCGGATCTCATTCGAAGACAATTTCCGAGGTTGAACATCGAACAGTAAAATTGTACTCAACGATTAAGATAGCGGCGTGGATACAGTAATAATCGTAACGAGAGAGTTAAGAGAATCTGAGAGAGTAGCCCGTCAATTTCGGTTACTCGTTCAGCCAGCCGATCGACACCAACTCACCAAATCAGCCCACCCTCCTCCTTGAGGCGGATCTACGAAGACGTAGTGGTAGTCGAATTAGCGACGTAGGCGTCGCACACGTGAGGATCGTGGAACTGCGATGGATCCTGGGTGAGATAACCCCGCTTGAGGCCCTCCAAATACGACCATTGGCGAGTGGTGTCGGTGCCTTCCTCGATCTTGAAGTTCCAGAACTATATTGTCGTCAGCACATAGCAGAACTAAAGGTCTCGAGAAAAGAAAATAATCACGAAATAGCCAGCGCCCTTGCCATACATCAGCTTCTGAGCGTCAGCCCATTTTCTCAGGAAGTCGTCGGTCGCTGCGAATTGAGTGGCAAGACTCCACTCTAAAGGCCGTGAAGAATCAGTCTGCCGGTGAAACAGCCACCCAGATATGGAGCTTACCTCCGAACCAAAGTGGACTGTTCCCGATAGCGGCAGCTTCCTCGATGCGGTTGAGATCTAGATTGAAGATGAGCAAATTACCACCGGAAGAACAAGCGGTGGACATACTGCACAGGTGCTTCAAGTAAGCTTCCTCGTTGGCATCGGCAACGCCCTGAAGAGAAGGCAGGTCAAAACCGGTTAGCTTAGAGAGGAGAGGTGGGAACGTACTCCGAATCTAGCGGAAGGTGGTTAGAGATCGACAGCAAAAAGAAATAGTTGAAACTTACGAGTAATAGAGGTGGTTGTCGTAAGCAGTCGGACCAATAGCGCCATCAGCGGGATTCGAAGGGTTGTTGTATTGCCACTGAGCGTTCATGAAACTGTCACACAAATAAATTATCGAGAATGAGGAAACGACAAGACCAGGCTTACTTGACCACCAGGGGTTGGCGCTTCCTCAACACGTTCCGAAGACCATCCAAGCCGAAAATGGTGTTCATACCCAACTGATTTGCAGCGTACAGGATCATTGGGATGGCATCCTTCAGGGCTTGTCGGACTTCGGGGTTGAAAATGGACGAGAGGGTGGCTGCCTGCGAGACTGCGACGGTGACATTGGCTGCCGATGCAAGGTTGGCCGAGATACCGATGGAAATGCCAGGAACAGGGATGCCCAATGCAATCTCAACAGCGCGGATGGTTTGTGCAAAGTTCTTGTTAACTGGCGGTTGTATAGGTTAGAAAAATCCCACGGATGTTCAAGAAGGGAAGAGACATTCGCCCAGGCCAGGAGTCTGATTCGCGTCCATGATGGGTTCATTCAAGGCTTGGATAGAGGCAACAATGCTGAAATCGGGGTGGATATGCGACAAAGCAGTCATGACGGCGGTCCAGACAAGTGCACGGTGATAGTTGTGTGGTGTCTACTCAAAGTCATCATCAGTTTGGGTCACCACACTAACAACGTCGGTCTTACATAGAACTGGACGTCGCCGGTACACCTTCCAGCAAACATCTGGTTCGGCGAAGCAACACCTGGAAGAGCATGGTGGTCCAATACCACAGGGATTCCGGCATCTTTTAATTGTTTCAAACCACGTCGCTAATACATAGAACGCTTAGAAGGGGCACAGAAGAAAGCGGCTTGCTGGAACTTACCAACTCCAAGAGCCCTCCTTTGGCATGGAATTCTGAGGTGCGGTTGACCAGGGGTTCAACAATCCAATAACCAAGCTGTAGAAGCAAGGTCAGCAGAGAACAAACAGAGAGAAGGTGCATGCTTACCGGGATTCGAACAGAATTGATGCCAGCTGCCTTCAGGGTATTAACGTCATCTTGAGTCAACCAAGTTTGCCTGAAAGCAATGAACACTGATCCATCGCGCATGAAGTTGGGAATTACCAATGCTCTTTGAACTTTTGGTCGACAGTATCGGGATATGCTTGGGCGAAGTTGCTATGACCATTGTCAGGGCTTTTGACACCCTACACAGGACATGGCTTACTATTCATTCGCAATGCACGCAGAACAATCCCAATCACATCGCTCTCCTCCCATGCTGACCCATTCTGAAGAACTTGAGTCGGAATCGTAGGATTGGAATAAAATATCGTACCAGTTGGAAGCATCCAGGGCTCGATTAAGAGCCTGTTTGCTGCGTCAGTTTTCACAAATTTCTCTGAGTGCTAGCTAATCTTACCATGACCCTAGGTTGACGCCGTAAATTTTGTCGGGCAAGCCAGGAAGAGCGTTCACGGCGAGAATGCTCGTCGCTATTATAGATAGGTACGAAAAGAGAGTGGAAGGCATGGTCCTAGGCGAAACCTCGCGTGTGATGGAACGAAGCCAGCAGTTTATAGAGTAAAGGAGTGTGGGTGATAGGACGCCGCTGAAGAAGTCGTCGGCGGTTCTTGGGGAAGAGCCTTTTGCTGGCACTTGGACCACCTGGTCTCCTAAATAAAGCTCTGGCGTCGGAATATGCTCCCGGGTCACCCTATTTGGACTTCTTTTGCTTCATCTCCATGCGATCGCATTGTGCGGGACAGCCTCGTCAGTCATCATGAGGTGGCCGTTGACAAGGATGGATTCCGACTTATTGCCAGTGTGCCCTCCAGCCCGAAACCACGAAGCGACGAGAGGCGACGAATTGCTTCCAAGTGTTCCAGCATGGTTTTTTCCACATTGATCGACATTATTGGCGTTTAGGCTCGGCAACATTAGTCGAACCTCGAACGCTTGATCATCCTGTTTCGTCCTGAAAGAAGATACTTATAATCGAGAAAAGTTCGCGCAAAGATCCACGAGCGGCTTGCATTTCTGCGAAGTAATGGGTTTTGAAGGGTCTTGAAGGGTGAGGCCGGTGAGGTCGAAGGAACAAAGAGGTGTTGAATGCGCGGACCTTGAAATCTCTTGTTACATAAGTAGGTGACCTCTCCAGTTGTTCGCCCCTCCTCACGCTTCAGCTCTCCTCCGACTCGACAATCAACCTCTCGTTGCACACCGCCTCGGTCGCTGAAACGCATGCCCACCTCAGCGCAATTAGAAACCGATAAATCAACGGATTCCTCCCAGTATCTTCCTCGTCTTTCGTGTGAACGCTAAACGGCGAGACTTCGTTTGAACCGTCTCATACCTCTGGACCTTCCATGTCATTGGATCCGTTCACACCAATCCTCGCCTCTCTTACTCTCTGCAGGTTCTATCGAGGTTCTATGAATAATTCGCATGACTTTCCAGAAGAGTTCTCGCACCTTAGCTCTCGCAAAGGTTCTATTCGGTTTTCAACAGCCTCTGGCAAGTGTTTTGCTGTCTGAAGGTCGCATTTTATCTCGTGTATGTCACGACATGCGAAGAATATTCAGTTTATCTGTCTGGTGGTTGGCCAGACCAGATAATGATTTAATCCTGCGTCGAGGATGGGTAAACCATATCTTTGCCTTGTTGGCTTGATCATGCAACCTCATCTAAAATCGGACCGCGGGACTATGTTTGTACGCCCGTCTGAAACAGACTGGTCACCTCTGTGATAGGTAGCTGGCTGTTTGTGCGTTGTCCTTTCCTTCCTCGTCTCTTCTCATTTATCCTTACTGTGTTCCTATTTTGTTCCCCTCTGGTCCAGGATACTTCACACTCCTTTAACTTGATTGATCATGGTTCTCCGCCTCTCCTTTCTGCCTTTCTTTTTACTTTTGCTAGCCTGGACGATCCTGCAGGCCGTGCAGAAGGCCTCGTCGAAGCCTTTGGGCCGTGCAGACGCGAATATCACCACCCTCTCAGCTTCTGAAATTTCGAGCTTCAAGCCTTACAGCTTCTATGCCAACACCGCTTACTGTCAGCCACCTCAAACTCTCTTGTGGGCTTGTGGACGTAAGGCCGGACTCAAGTATCCTGATGACACTAGTGCTAACACTTACCTTACAGAAAGTTGCGATGCAAACCCGACTTTCAGGCCAATCGCGTCCGGAGGAGACGGAATAGACATACAATTCTGGTATGTTGGATTCGATCCTACTCTTCAAGTGAGTCCCAAGCGCAATCTGGTCTACTTTATTTTGACACGTTGTGGTTAAGACAGTAATCGTCGCACATCAAGGAACTGATCCGAGCGAAATGTGATTTTCAGCTTCACTGGATGCCATTCCCAGGTGCTGACGAAGACTTGTAGAGTGCCTTTACTTATCGACGCGGACTTCTTTCTCGTTGGTCTCAATCCAACCCTTTTCCCTGGAGTTCCGTCAAACATTCAAGTCCATAGCGGGTTCGCGTCTGAGCATGCTAAGTACGGTGCTCGATGAGCCTACTCTTCGATTTACCTTCTAACGGGATATGTAACAGAACGGCTGTATCAGTCCTGACTGCCGTCAGAATTGCGCTGCAAGAAAGTGGTTTGAACAACGTTACCGTCGTCGGACACTCACTAGGTTTGTCCTTGAGCTCCATTATCGACGTTATCTTCCTACCTTTGTTGATCGAACCTCAAGGAGCCGCTCTTGCCTTGCTTGATAGCATATACCTGCCTTTATTTTTACCCAGCGTTAGCTTCAAGATGATTGGATATGGAATGCCCCGAGTGAGTCTAGTCCTCTGTATTTCTCCTGCTTTCTAATAAAGCGACCAAGGTCGGCAACCAAAATTTCGCATCTTACGTCGACGGACATATCGACGTCACACACATCAACAACAAGTATGCTTTCACATCGCAAAACGCGTTAAGCCATTCACATGTCCTTTCGATAGAGAAGACTTTGTTCCTACTCTCCCCGGTAGAGTCCTCGGGTTTCATCACCCACAAGGAGAGAAGCATATCCAAGACGATCTATCGTGGGTTTCTTGCCCTGGCGACGACAATACCGACATAAGATGCACGGCTGGGGATGTTCCGTATTTTTTCGAAGGAAGCCTGAACGACCACGATGGTAAGCAGACGCCTGACTGCATCCATACCCTCCCCGAACAGTCATTTGTCTCCTAGGCCCTTACGACGGTGTAATGATGGGGTGCATTCAGTGACCTTGCAATCTCGTTTTCGTCATTTTGATTATCGTCAACGACAACTTCAAGCTGATTACACTCATGGACACTTATATGCAAATACCATGCTGCCTGGATCGTTTCGAGCTAATACAATGTATCTATATCTAGGAATGCTATGACAGCCTTCGAGCACACATTGTCACGATCCTTGTGGCCAACGTTCATCGATGCCGCACTTGAAAGCAGGGTTGAAGTCAATAAACAAGTAACCTAGTCCGTCCTAGATCAATCTACCATGCCTGATGTCCTCCTGCCACAAGAATACTATAAAGCAGTGGTGAGTGTGTGATCTATGAAGTAAACGTGGGCCTGACTCACTCGCTTCCTGTACAATAACTTGACGCGTCGCTCGCTAACCACGTTACAACACCGCGCAGCTCGTCTGGACGTCCAATCCTACCCATAGGCGTCAGTTCAGACCACTGATCCAAAAGCTGCGGCGTCGTCTCAAGCTCTGCTGCCGACATGCTGCAAAATATAGGGCATCAGTCTCAAGCCAACGTCATTTGGAACCGAAAGACACCCACTTGGTATACATATACCCAGGAGAAAGGGAATTGACCCTAATTGCATCCCTGGCGAGCTCACACGCCATGCTCCTCGCCATCTGCAGCACAGCTGCCTTGCTCGCATTGTACGCGACCCATTTATGCCCCCGATTCGTGATTGAGCCGCTCATGGACGCGACGAGCACGATGCTCCCGCCGTTGCCAAATTTCTTCATCTGCCGCCCTGCCGCCTGCGCGGTGAACAGAGTGCCGGCGGCGTTCACGTCAAGGACGCGCCGGAATTCGGAGGAGGGGTAGGAGAGACAGCCCGTGTGCGTGCTGGGTATACCGGCGGCGGCGACGCACACGTCGAGTCTGCATTCGCGTGCTCCGATGGATTCGCCGATGGAGAGTATGAGCGCTTGGTCGCGCACGTCGGCGGAAATGTACTCGAGGCGTGGAGGTTCCCACCCGCCTGCCTTGGATTTCTCGCCCGTGGAGGGCATCGGTCGGTCCAATGGCTCCAGTCGCTGGAGATGCTCCCTTGTTGCCTTCCACTCATATGACGGTTCCGGACCCTGGTCGACGCAGTACACCGCACGCGCCCCAGCCTCCGCGAGCGCCATGGCCATCTCCAGCCCGAGACCATGGTTTGCGCCAGACACGAGTGCGACGCGACCCGTTAACGCAAATTCGTCGAAGATCTTGCGTCTCGTAGGCTTGCTGGAGGCACTATGCGTCTTGGAATCGCTGTTGATGTTGTATGAGGAAGAGGAGGCCTGCAGGAGCGCGGCTGCTACTCCAAGAGGTGCGAGTGGGGATTCAACCTTGTACGGCAGTGAGAGCTTGCCGCCTTCGGAGTTTTCTGATGAAGACGAGGAGAGGCATGATGTTGTACTGCTGAAAGACCTGGGTCGCACTTGGATCGAGTGCAAGAGCCGTTTGCGTACCAAATCATTCACTAGGGCATTGGGCCCCCGTGAAAGGGCTGTGGAGGAAATCATTCTTGGTGTCTGATCTCTATCTCCCATAGCTGTCTTATATATGGAGGACCAAAGGGCAATACTGCAGCAGCGCTGCTTGGTCCGCAGCGATACGGCGAGCTATGAGCAAGTATATGATGTAATGCCAACGCCTGTTCCTGCGAAGAGAAGAAGCCGAGAACATAATGTGGTGTTGGAGCTTCAGTACTGTCAGTAACGACGATTGCCTATCTGAAGATATTGCTACCCAATTGTGAGCTCTGAGCCGCAAAAAAAATGTTGGGCTTATAATGAGAGAAAAAGACAAGAGTGAGAGTGCACAAGCAAGTCGAGAGGGATAGAGAACTCAACAATTCGTTCCTTAGCCGTACTTGTAGTTGGAGCACTGTCAAGGTCTGCAAACTCCGATGGGGACAACTACTCCAATCAAATTGATCCTTTGTATCATCTCCATTGGAGATGGGAGGCTTTCTTCACACATGTTCTCGATAAATGCTTGTCTCTAATCCGATATGTTACGCAGACGACGGAAGATTCTATCGGACGGCTGTTGAATAATGACGACTACATTAAATAGCCTTGCTCTTGACCAGTTCTACAAGAGGCACATCAGAATCCAGTGAAATACTACACAGAAGGAGGGTACGCACGTTCAACCTCAGCAACAGCACTAGACAGAATGTCCTTTTGGGTCTTCTCGTCCTGAAGAGAAAAGAGGACCTTGTCGATGACGCTCTTGGTGAGGTCGGCTTGTTGGGCCTCCTTCAAGGATTGCTCATAACGGACCCAGCTGTCCAGGACGGCCTTGACCTCGGAGGCGACGGTGACCTTTTGTTGTTGAACGAAGGTCTCCGACTCGAGCTTGGCGGTCTCCTACATCGCATGTTGGCATCAATGAGTTAATAGAAAAAAAAGGGTCATAAACACACCTTCGACAAGGCAAAGAGAGCTTCAGTGATGGAGACTACATCCTTCATTTGGCCAACAGACTCAATGCGCTCCTTCACGGCACCGGTGTGCTCGGCACGGGCATCGTTAAGGATCTTCTTAATGCGTTGAACATGACCCTCAGCCCACTGGACGTAGGGCTCGCGCATAACCTAACCACGTCGTCATTAAAAACACCCCCCAAAAAGCCGAACGTCCGAACCTTGCCGATGTAGGTGAAGACGATGATAGAGGCAATGAGGATGATGGACTCCTCATTGACCACGTACAGCTCCTGCGAAATAGCAGCCGCGGCAGCACCAACACCTAGGAGAGCAGTGCCGGTCTTTGTGACGAGGCTGGGGGAAGATGGGAGCTTCTCGATGATCTCCGAAGCGCGTTCAGACGGTGGTGGTGGGTTCGTGGCCATAGACCGACTTCATGATGGACGAAATTAGGGCAGTGTATCAGACGGCGAGCTCAACATTGGCACAAATGAATCTTACGCGCTGAGGGCTCGGGGAAGGGCAGCGAGGGCCCGGGGTCGTGCTGTGCGGGGTGTGAGCCAGATGTCGAGCGGGAAGAATCGGGTACCGACCAGCTGCTCGCAGAGAGCCGAAAGCGATTCTGGACGCCATGGAGAGGGGGAGTTTGCAGAGTCGGGAGGTACACGGCCAGCTGTTGGATGCCAAATATCGTGGGAACAACTCCCCGATTTTTCACGACATTTCACCCGGGTTAGGGTTCCGTTTCGCGCTGCACAGCGACCTCGCATGTTCGTACTTCTCTCAGTAGAACAGTTTGTGTGAGTCCCTAATACGTTTCATTCTCATTTCTGACCATCTTTGCGCCAAAATTTAGCGTTACTGGCACTTGGATGAAACCAGGCACTGACTCTGACGACACCTCTGAGATTAGAACGCCGTAAACCTCTGAGATTCTAAGGCCGTTCAATTATTCAAGATCTCATACTTCTCGCTGGCGCTCCAAATTATTTTGGCCCTCAATTTCCGCACGATTCGATAGACATCGATTTCAGCACATTGTTTCAACACTGCCGGGTGTTTAATGCACTAGAATGAAGTCCAGTTCTTCCTTCCTTTCAACTCGCCGAAAAGTTTGCCTCCTCATAGAGCAGACCCACTCGCCCTCTAGATGAAACCTGCACTCTTTCACAAAGCTTCCTGGTGCAACTCTCTGTGACCTTCGATAACCAGGTCCTCTCGTTAGACCCTTCACATCCACAGTTGAGCTTGGTCCGGCCGTAACATTGTACGCTGTAGATCTGCTGGCAAAGCAGGCGCAACCTTGACCAACTCCTGATGCACCATCTGAGCTTGCCAAGTCCCATCCGTGAACCGGTAGGCAGTTTGCATTTTGCGACCTGCTTTACTTCGACGATTCGCCTCGTCATTTGTCTGCTTCGAAACTGCGTCCACACGGATCGTTTATCGATTTATCTCTCTTGCGCGCACGTTGCATGCGATAAGCCTTTCATGGCAAATCTCCTGATCGCATGGGAAGGTATTTGCTCAATCTGCTCGAGCAATCGGTCACAAGACGCCTTGCACTGTAAGGGTTCTCTGGAGATACTGCAAAATCTCAAAATATTACCTCTAAAGTCTCATCACGCTAAGCAGCGGTGGGTCACGATTCGGCCGCTGCATCCGATTCTCGAGGGTCTTCATCAACGCATGATCATCTACTTTCTCCGGATGCCCTCGAGCTCGTGGCCATGATACGAGGGCTCTATGTCCGTACCCCCTTCTGGCTGCCATGATCCTCACAAGTTCTGCAGATGAACTGCGGTCATATTCAGGGTCTCTTCAATCAACTTGTACTCCCTCGGTTTGCACCCCAGACCCGGGCAATTCTTGTCCCCCTTATCGACTCAGTGTTTGGCGTCCTCCGACGCACTCATTCGGCGGTATGTTGTTTCCCGTGGAAGTTGTCGTCTCGTCTGATCTCCAGCATCTGTATCCCTGGCTTAAATGAGCCTCTGGCCGCACGTGTTAGCACTCGATCAGGCAATCCACATCCCTCTTTTGGGTTAGCACATTCGCAACAATCACTGGGAACACAGAACGTCCTACGCCGTTCTCTTTTGGTTTCAGAAATCCGGCTATTCTCGCCATTGCCAGCCAGACTGCTTTCCAACAGATAATCTTGTGCGATTATGTTCCGGAGCTGTCAACGCTCGTCGTCGTTTCGCTGTACTTACTTGTCCTCTCCTTTATCCCTCGTTCTCCGTAGAATCTTGAATATACAGATTCTTCCCTCGAAGAGCCCCTATCTTCACATCCTGTCGGAAAAACCGAACCACCGTGTCTAGCTCGGCCCTCTGACAGTTTTACTGCCTCCGCCAAACCAACCCTTCCCAAGTGAACCGTCGAACCCAAATCCGCTCCTGCCTATGTTGTCTTCAAACTTCCATTTGAAAGCCGTCGATAACATGGTGTGGGTATGCAAGTCACCGCTGTCAGCAATCTTCCTGATCGGCTTTCAAACGGATGTCGGTTCGCTTTCCTTATCCTCACAAGGGCGATGAAAAAGCATCTTCGACTTCGTTCTCAGAGTGTGGGTAAGTTATTTGGGGGTGTTGCTAGCGCTGCCTGCTTGACACACCACTTTGCTATGGAGAGGTAGATGGACGCTCGGATGCTAGGTTACGCAAGGCGGTGTGCGCTGGGCGCGCGATAACAACGACTGGAGGCAGTAATTATACGTGGATTGTGTGTAGATGAGAGGAGCTATTGGTGGACACCATTTGCCTTACCCGCACTGACAAACTGACGCTCCAAAGACTGAACACTCGACATTGACACTCGTAATTTATGTGTTCTACATACGAAGGCCCTGAAGAGCGACAATGCAGGGATAGGCCTAGTCCTGAGCATGACGGGATCTTTGACACAGGGCATTGCAGATGCCGTTCGTCCTCCCATGACGCGCTTCGAAAGATTTGAAGTTTAAACAACATCTTCTGTGAACACTTTACGAACTAGTCGTGGAGGTCGGTCGGTTCCGCGTGAGGACAGCTTATCTCTTGGGTTAACGTTTCTTTCGTAGACAGACAGAATGTGTAACTTAAATAGATAGGTCAAGCAAACGTTCTATTGCTACGTAGCTTTCCGGACCTCAGGGGTGTAGACAATTCACATGGAGGTCTCGAGCTCAAGTTTCGGGCAGGGCAACGAGGGTTAGGTCGAGCATCTAAATTTAGGGGACCAACAGGGCCCGGGATGACAAGTCTGGGAGGATGAGGACTCCTGGAAATCGGCGGTACAGGCGCCAATCCCGGGCCCGAGGAACACCGTAAATTATCACAGTTGTAGACTTAGTCCATGGAGGAAAGATAGAAAGGGGTAAATGGCTAGCATATGTTCTTCAGAATCCGGCGGATGCCTAAGCAAAGGATTCACCATCTCTTTAAACACACCATGAGCAGCGAGAGGCTTCCTCATATACGGTGTTATAGTGTGGGGTCTCGGGTTGATGCCATGCGCCACATCAAGACTCGTCCCACTTCAAGAATGCCATCAAAGGAACCAAAGGTCATTGAGGCTTTGAAAGTACCCTGCAAACAAGCACTCAGGAGTTGAAATGGATGAGACGTACTTAGAAGCATATGAATGTTAAATTTCATCAAATAGGACTGTACCGATTCATGAAGATACTCAGCAGGGCGCCTCGTGTGCTGGTAGGGCTATTGCCGCCTTCATCGGGTGTTCAGAAGACAAGCGCGCGCAAACCTCGCCGTTAGTCTCGAGCATCGAGGGTGAACCTTTAGGCAACCTTTGTACACCGGTGGTCTGCAGCGTTGCTGAAGCGGAGAGCGCGAATAGGGGAGATAGAGTATATCCGGGCCGACTGGCCGGGGAAGTACGCCACACTGACGCGAAAATGCCCAAGTACAGCAATCATCAATGATTTACATACGTCTGCGAATCCCTCGTGTAAATACCACCTCAAATACATTTCCCCTTAATTCTCTTGATTTTCCAGATGGATGGGAAGCCAACGGTTTGACAATGAAATCCCCTTCCTTGAACCGCGTAAGGGGTGCCCGCAGGCTTCGTAAGACACGTTCCAAACACGGAGATAAGTACTAAAGAAGAGGCGCAGCGCGGAAGAACTTGTCGAACCACCCAAGACATCTTTTGTCATTTCTTCCCTCTCCAATAAACTCTTGAGAGAATATTCATGTCGCTGGGTCCAGGCCTTGGATTCACTACTTTGCCGCAGTTAGAAAACACGTAGACGTATGGCCTTCAATCCCCAAAGCGGGAAGAAGTGAGCCCACCTTACTTATCTATTTGAAGTCCCTTGTTGATCCTCCCTAATACTTCCATTATGGAATAATTATAGACGTCATACGGCCCGGGGTGAATACGAGGAGTCGGTGCACTCGGACAGTGTGTCCCCTCCGTGCTTATATGAGGCTTAATGGTGAAGGTTAGGAATTGGGTTAAGGTAAGCTTTCATGACATTTAGAACCCAATAAGCACAACAACCCCATGGGATAACATGGGAGTCTGGGCGTTTTCGAGTGGAGCTGGACATCGGACTGGCTAAGCGCCGGCTCGCCTCCTTGAAAAAAAGTAAGCGTTTCCTTCCCTCTTTCCAGAAGTTTTTGGTCCTCGCAATATGAACTTCATCGAGTCAAGCGCTGTCAGGACTCTAGCAGGACCTAACTTTGAATCGAGTCAGATGTACACGACAGAGACCTTATAGAAATATTTTCACTTGAAGGAGGGCTCTTCCTCGCATGCTCCGCCGACGGGAATGTCGGAAGAAAGGGATTTCTCCCATCCTCTTTCCTCCGTGCACACGGTATGACATATCGAAGATTCGTGGAAGGCGGATGGACTCCTTAAGGTGCCTCGAGAGGCACTTCTCCCATCGTAGCACAGCGACGTATACGGCGCGGGAGGATGCCGCCGAAGGGGGAATTTTATTTAAAGAATCTAGATAGCAGAGCCGTCCAAGTAAAGGCATCTTCGCTGAGCTCTTGGATCCTCGGGAAAGCCAAGCCGAACTGGTTCGCGAGGCTGATTGACAGTACTGCTGGCTCCGTTTGGAACAAGGCGCCTGTATGAATGCCCCTTCGAAAGAAGACATATAGAACTATAGATGATGGTAGAATGCACGTCAGGCAGTGCTAGTACAGGATACAACTGACCGAGTACGACTCGGAGCATTTGAGCACTACAAATGACTGTACAATAGGTATTGATTTAGGTATACAAACCATCTATTCTTATCATCGCACGACAAGCTATTCCGATAGTCGAGCGCGAAGCTTGGAAATGTAGGTAAGCACCCATAATATCCTGACCCGGTGGCTACGGGAGCCAGAACCCTCCCCTCACGCGCGGGGAAATTAGCCTTCAAGGATATATGAACCCAGGAATGGGTAAGCACCAATACTGCTGGAACGCGAAGTAGCATCGACGCGCTCGTGCCTCCGTAGCCAGGGGAGAGCTAGGCTAAGTATGCACGGTGGTGGGAACGGGTGAGTGGCATTAGCGCGGCGTCGTGCGTCATCCCGGCGCACACGCGCTCGGCTCTAGGAAGGCCAAAGATGTGTACTTTCTGAAAGGTTATGAAGCGCGTCTCGTGCACCGGTTTAACATCGGTGCCTCCCACGCTTGACCTGTGTGTCGGCCAACTGCGCT